TGTTATTGTTTTAGTTGAATAAATTGTTTAAATTTTTATTAAGGAAATGATTATTTTTCTCCTTCCAATAAAGTGCAGCAGAAAAGTTGCCCAAATGTAAACAGTTAACTTATTAAACCTCACCATAATTTCATAATTATCTATGTATTTCTATAACCAAATCAGCAATTTTTGATATAACTGTAAAAACTGCTCTGAAAATTTTATTATTCCAAAAATGAAACCTTCCTCTCGTTGTGAATATTAAGATGATACCAGCAAGAATGAGTCTTTCTGTAAAAAAAAAATGATTTCAATCAAGTCTTACCGACTAGTGATTTAAATCGATGTGATTTAAATCAAATCCACCCTCTTTGGGACTTTTTCGTTTAGATAAAAAGCAAGTAAGAAGAGACAAGATAGGTAGATGGGCGATTGGCTTAATCCAACAGGCTCATATTTCGTTCTTAAGCGCACACACCTTCTGCTATATAAGCTGCAATGAACTCAGCCTTAATCTAAAGTAAGCCTATTTAGGATTAAAGCATTAATAAAGCAAAACTACTTAGGGGTGGATCAGCTTGTTAGATGCAACTAACATCCCCTTTGCAGTTTTGGATATTGTTTGTCAGGTTTTTGGGGGGAGCACCGTTCTTGCTAGAGATCTGGGGGTGATATTTTGGTTGCCAACCTTTCGGCCCTGGTGGACACCTTTGCAAACTGGAAGGGGGGTGGCAGAATCGTGGGAACCGCTGGAGGTGGGAGAGGAATTAGATTCCCTTAGCATTTAAAGGCTTTTGCATTTTCCAAAATGAAAATGTAAATCGAAGCACAGCCGTTCCTTTCAAACCTGCGCTTCTACGAATGTCGCAACGCAGATCTCCAGCCAAATTGCAAATTCCATATTAGGACAAAGTTACCCTGAAATGCTGATGAATTTTCATTATTGGTCTCGGAACCCGGCACCCACAGCTTCTGGTGTGCTCTGAGCTTTTCCTGTGATTGCATAAAATGATTTCCAACTCCCTTGCTTTCATCGTAATAAGAGTTTGTGGGGCAGACTCTGTTTCGGTTTGTTCAGTGTGCCACGATTTGTTCTATATTTCATTGGCTTGTGTGTGTATATACTGCCGTTGTCGATTAATTTATGTGCCGCAATTCCCCCACGAGTCTGTGCTCAAAGTGGTTTGTGGGGTGGAATCGGAGTCCGAATGCAGCAACTCCATAGCAATATATAACAAAGCCACATAAGAGCAGGAAATGGCAGTCAGAAGGGATCTCAAGAGTCATCTAGTCCAGCCCCCTTCGGTGCATTTAGCACTGCTACAAATAATGTCATTCTGCATTTGTAAGAACTCACTTTAGAACCACCTGCCTACTGAGAACAAGCAGACGCCTCAATTCTACGCTTTTTGGCACCTGCTAAAAGCCGAGGTGATTTTTATTTGTTTTAGTATCTTAACTTCCGTATGCTTTAAAGTAGGGTTGTGATTTCCCCCTCCCCTTCATTGTACTGCGTTACCTTTTGCAAACCGCTTGCTGTTGTTTTGAAATCTAGCGAGTTATAAAATGACCTCAGCTTCGAATAAATGCAGGAATCACAGCTTACCTAACGGCTGAAACAATTTACACTTAGCAATTAACAGTTCATTTAACACCTACAAGTGTTTGAGAGAGCTTCCACTCACTAGGAGGTCAAATGGAAGCATTAATTAAGCAGCCGCATTACGAAGGCCCCTAGGGATGGAGTAGAGTGGGACAAGCTGTCTGCACTCTCTGATCCCTGATCACTTTTTCCTGATCTAGCAAGTCTCTGCTGCCAAGTGACAACTAAGCTCAGCTGTTGCCCTCAGTGCAGTGGAGAGCGCTGCCTTATTGCCACTCAACAACAACAACAATTTATATGTACCCAGCCCAACTGACTGGGTTGCTACTCTGGGCGGCTTCCAGCATATATAAAGACATAAGGTAAAGGTAAAGGGACCCCTGACCATTAGGTCCAGTCGTGGCTGACTCTGGGGTTGAGGCGCTCATCTCGCTTTATTGGCCAAGGGAGCCGGCGTACGGCTTCCGGGTCATGTGGCCAGCAGAACTAAGCCGCTTCTGGCGAACCAGAGCAGTGCATGGAAACATCGTTTACCTTCCTGCCGGAGTGGTACCTATTTATCTACTTGCACATTGACGTCCTTTCGAACTGCTAGGTGGGCAGGAGCAGGGACCGAGCAACGGGACCTCACCCCGTTGCGGGGATTTGAACCGCCGACCTTCTGATGCCGATCAGAAGTCCTAGGCTCTGTGGTTTAACCCACAGCACCACCTGCGTCCCTTATAAAGACATAGTAAACCATTAAACATTAAAAAGATGTCTTCTAAAGGTTGTGTAGTTGACACCTGATGGGAGGGTGTTCCACAGGGCAGGTGCCACTACCAAGAAGGCCCTCTGCCTGGTTCCCTGTAACCTCATTTCTCGCAGGGAGGGAACCGCCAGAAGGCCCTTGGAGCTGGACCTCAGTGTCCAGGCTGAACGATGGGGGTGGAGACACTCCTTCAGGTCTACTGGGCTGAGGCCGTTTAGGGCTTTAAAGGTCTGCATCAACACTTTGAATAGCACTGAAACGTACTGGGAGCCAATGTAGGTCTTTCAAGACCAGTGTTATGTGGTCCTGGCGTCCACTCCCAGTCACTAGTTTAGCTGCCACATTCTGGATTAGTTGTAGTTTCCGAGTCTCCTTCAAAGGTAGCCCGATGTAGAGCACATTGCAGTAGTCCAAGCAGAAAACGTACCACTCTGGCGAGACAGGGAGCAGGCAGGGAGGCTGTCAGTCAGCGTACCAGATGGAGCTGGTAAACAGCCGCCCTGGGCGTGGAATTAACCTGCGCCTACATGGACCTGCGCCCCACTTGCCCGCCGACTTTTCTAAATGGAATGGGAGGGAAGAAACCAAGGTTGCAATTGGTCTCATGGTCAGCAAAACGTCTTGGGTTGGCCCCGTTCTTGCAGTTGTAGTACGCAATTGCCCTCCAGGTCCTCAGAGAGCCACTGTGCTTGTTCTGGGTATAACATTCAAAGCCTCCTTTGCCTGTAAACTTAATGGCTTCTCTCCTCCTTTTTATGTATGGCTGCAAAGCTAGCAGGGGTGTGTGTACACGTGTGTGTGTGTGTGTGTGTGTGTGTGTGTAAAATAAATCATGATGTAGAAATGGACCAGGGGGAACTAAAACCAACAGGTTCACCCAACACTTAGGCACTACACCCTGCAACCAGGTGTGCTTTAAGAAAAATCTGGACAAGGTGTTGCTGCGAGATTGGAAGATCCTTGCCCCGACGGTGCCCCTTGATGAGGTTGGTACACAGGATCCGAGCAAGTGCCTTTACAGGTGGGCTTCCCAGGTGGGAGAGGTCTGGAGAGTGTTTGTGCATAGTCTGGGTGTCCTGACTCCCTCCCCTTCTCTCCACAGACCCTACTGAGAAGGAGGAGGAGGAAGAGAGCCAAGTCAGTGCTGAGGACCTACCCACAGCTGAAATTCTTCAAGTCTGGGAGGACACGGTGAGAGGCACTGTGGGGTGAGCGAAAGAGTTGGCCAAGGTGCCCATTCTGGCACAACCCTGCTCTCTTTGAATGCCAAGAGGTAGGTGTTGCAGTGATGGAAGGAGCAACACAGAAGCCAGCGAGATCTGTCCATGGTCCTGAAATTGCTTCTGCTCTTTTCTGCTCTCTGGCTCCCTCTGGGGGCAAGGGTCCTGAATGCTGCATGGATCTGGAGAGGGTATTATTTATCGCTTGTCCTTCCTCTGACCAACTTATGTTTGAGATTAACGTCTAGCTAGCTAGAGTTTAAAATTACCCTTTGCAGCATAAAATGTGGAAATGCTCTGGGACCAAATTGCTTAACCTTATTCATATTTATCCAGGATGCTTTCGCAGACTGGATCTTCCTCTTTTTTTAAAAAAAAATCCCTCTAAACAAAATAATCACACAGAAGCCTGCAATGCAGGAATGAAAATATTGTTTATCTGCATAAAGCTTCAGACTTGTTGCAGCAGTGAAAAACAAGACAGGCAGAATATATTACAAAATATGTGGTTGAGATAAAAAAAATGGAGTCTGTGCTCAGTCTTGTCGCTTTAGTTACATGGCAAAGGGTGGGGGAGTGAGGAAGTTGTACCGGGGCAAACAGGGGATGTGACCTCACAGAGTGCCCTCTCTAGGAATTTACAGGGGAACTCCATGCGTCTTAACCCTTTGCTTGCCTAGCAACACATGAAATTTTATATTATTTCCCAGGCTGAAACCATAGTGCCGTCTAGTCCAACCTCCTGCAATGCAGGAATAATGGTGGACACCTTGGTCCTTTTCCTGCTAAGAGTCGTGGGACAGCAGGGGGACGGGGGCAACTCCCACTATCCAAGTTGTTGGGGAGACATTGCTACCAGGGGTCCAAGCCCCACCAACGATGCTGTCAGGGCTAGGCTGGTGTTTCCAGCTCAGCCTCCTGAGGAAATGGGGAGGCATCTCCACCTACTGGCTGCGCAGGGAGGGGGGGTTAACCCAGTCCTGAAGCTGGGGGGGGGGTGATGCCAGCACTACTGCTGTGGTCAGTGGTTGGGGCTGATGGTGCTTCAGTTATATTTTCTGAGAATCCTCCGGAAAAAAACAATCTCTCAAAGGACCTGTTGATGGCATTTTACCATTGTACTGTGGAGAGTGCATTAACTTATGGTCTGTGTGTGTGGTTTGGGAGCTGCACGGTCAGGGGAAAAACAATGCTGTCCAGGGTTGTAAAGACTGCGAAGAGAATAATTGGGTGCACTCTTCCCACCTTGGATCAAATCTATGCTTCCAGATGCCATAAGAAAGCTGCAGAGATAGTGCAGGATAGTGTGCACCCCGGAAATGATCTCTTTCAGCTTCTGCCTTCTGGAAGAAGGTCCAGGGTTATAAAGACTAGGACTAGCCGCCTGAGAAACAGTTTCTACCCAAATGCGATTTTGGTTTTAAACGCAGTGTAAGGAGTTTTTGCCCGGATGATCCTCAGTGGTCTGGGGTGCGGGCTTCAAACCTGTAGGTGTTTGGGACATGGGTGGCACTGTGGGTTAAACCACAGAGCCTAGGACTTGCTGATCAGAAGGTCAGCGGTTTGAATCCCTGCGGCGGGGTGAGCTCCCGTTGCTCGGTCCCTGCTCCTGCCAACCTAGCAGTTCAAAAGCACCTCAAAGTGCAAGTAGATAAATAGGTACCGCTCCAGCAGGAAAGTAAATGGCGTTTCCGTGCGCTGCTCTGGTTCGCCAGAAGCGGCTTAGTCCTGCTGGCCACATGACCCGGAAGCTGTACGCCGGCTCCCTCGGCCAATAAAGTGAGATGAGCGCTGCAACCCCAGAGTCGGCCACGACTGGACCTAATGGTTGGGGGTCCCTTTACCTTTACCCTAAGGAGTCTCTATGGGAGTATATTGTATTTAATTATGGGGTACCAGAGTTTTTAGGGGGCTAACCAGGCTGGGATAGCAGGCTTGTTGGTTTTTGAATGTCTTATGTAGATTTTTCAATTTCATTGTTCTGTATGGGACAATGACAATAAAGATTATCGTATCGTATCATACCATGGTTGGGAGGTCAGACAGAGTAATGGTGGCGGAGGCAAACAAACTCCTTTTGGAGCTGATGAGATGCCTGGGGCTCCAAAGCCTTCTCCTTTAAAATGAGAGAGAGAGAGTGAGTAAGATTCTAGTCCTCATGGTCCTAAAGAAAACCCTGGTTTGTATAAGAAGCTGCCTTTTACTGAGTAAGATCAAGGGTCTAACCTGCTCAGCAAATCTACACCAGGAGTCTTTGGCTTCTTTGAAACCCGGGACCCACCTTTAGCTCAAATGTGCATTTGGGGACACTTTTATTTACCATATTTTTTGCTCCATAAGACGCACTTTTTTCCTCCTAAAAGGTAAATGTCTGTGCGTCTTATGGAGCGAATGCACTGGACGGCAGAGGGATCCCGTCCGTCGCTCGCTGTGAAGCAAGCAGAGCAATAATATTTCTTTTCTTGTTTTCGTCCTCTAAAAACTAGGTGCGTCTTATGGTCAGGTGCGTCTTATGGAGCGGGAATATTTATTTATTTTTTAAAAATAAAACATGTCCACAGTTGGCACAATGGGTCAGTGCATCTGTTAACCCAAAGGTTTGTGGTTCGAGCTCCACTTGGGGATGTCTGTGGCACGGGCAGAATTCCTGCCTTGCAGGGGGTTGGACTAGATGACCCTCGGGTCCCCTTTCCAACTCTACAGTTTTGTAATTCTATTTGCATGGTGGCAGGGCTGCTGTTGCCCCCCCCCCCCCCACTTTAGAACAGGTTGCAACCCCAGCCCTCCAGCCAAAGACCTGCACTGACTGACAGGAGCTTTCCAGGGCTTCTTCAGCCTACTTTGAGATGCCAGGGATCTGCCTGGAGATGCCTCTGCCTGGCTGTGTGGTGTAGTGGTTAGAGAGGTGTACTAGGACCTGGCAGGCGAGGGTTTGGATCAGGCATGACCCTCACTGGCTGACCCTTGGGGGGGCCAGTCACTGCATCTCGTCCGCCCCCCACCTCACTGGGTTGCTGTAGGGATTAAATGAAGAAGGGGGAAGAACCTTGTAGGCCACTTTGAGCTCCTTGAAGGGAAAAGAGCAGGACAGAAATGCAATAACAGGCTGTGTTGAATCTTTCCACTTCCCCAAATGAGGGGTGCTAAAAAGTGCCTTGGGAATTCAAGAGATGCTTTGGTTAAATTAATATAATTTAGTTTCACTGCTTAAGTAAAATGGGTGTAAAATCGAATCGGAAATCATTTGCCAAATACTGGCAGTTAAGGCATATATTACTATTATTATTATTATTATAGTGATACCTCGGGTTAGATACGCTTCAGGTTACATACGCTTCAGGTTACAGACTCCGCTAACCCAGAAATATTACCTCAGGTGAAGAACTTTGCTTCAGGATGAGAACAGAAATCATGCTCCGGCGGCAGCAGGAGGCCCCATTAGCTAAAGTGGTGCTTCAGGTTAAGAACAGTTTCAGGTTAAGAACGGACCTCCAGAACGAATTAAGTACTTAACCCGAGGTACCACTGTATTATTATTATTATTTAGCACTACTTGAAAATTTTCAGAAGGTAAAATAAAAAATTCCCCAAAGCAGTTTATGTGCTTCTTCATCAGACTAACCAAGCTAAATGTTATCCAGGCATAGCAAATTTGAGTTCCTCACACCCAGAAACATATTTTTAAGACTGGAGAAATTTATAAAAATTAAGTTTTGCCCCCTAAAAAGACGTGCCCCAAACAATGAGGGTTGCAAGGTCAGGAACACCCCAGACCCTGAGATTTCAGAGCCCAAACCCAAGAATGTGGGGCAAACCCTGGTTAATTTTCCTCTGACTTCCCTCCCACTCCTGAGCCCTGGAGATGGTAGTTAATTGGGAGAAGAGAGGAGGGCAGATCCCACCCAGAGAATTGATGCAGTAATTTGCAGGTCGCTCCTGCTGCACTAGGGACGCAGGTGGCACTGTGGGTTAAACCACAGAGCCTAGGACTTGCTGATCAGAAGTTCGGCGGTTCGAATCCCTGTGATGGGGTGAGCTCCCGTTGCTCCGTCCCTGCCCCTGCCAACCTAGCAGTTCGAAAGCACCTCAAAGTGCAAGTAGATACATAGGTACCACTCCAGCAGGAAAGTAAATGGCGTTTCCGTGCGCTGCTCTGGTTCGCCAGAAGCGGCTTAGTCATGCTGGCCACATGACCCAGAAGCTGTACACCAGCTCCCTCGGCCAGTAAAGCGAGATGAGCACCACAACCCCAGAGTTTGTCACGGGGGTCCCTTTACCTTTACCTTTTACCTGCTGCACTGACATTTGCAAGCTGCAAATTTAAGGACCCTCTCACCCACCGCCACTTAAAAGGGGTCAGGGAAAGGGGGAGACTTCAAGTCAGCCCTGGCACCCTGGCGCGCCCTTCCTCTCGAAGTTTCCTCTAGCCTTCATATCACCGTACGCTCCTCTTTTACTGGGCGTTGTGACTTCAAGCTTTGCTTCGTATCCGTAAAGGCCAGAAACTTAATTTCCCCTGCCTCTCCCACCACCACCGTTCCAATCAGCACATCTCCCGTTTTGAGTATTTTCAAGCTGACCTGAGAATTCTGAATTACGTCCCAGGCAGCGAAATTGAAAGAGGAACCCCAGCTGAGATGAACCCTCCAAATAGCTTGCAGTTCTAATCTTTGAACTCAACACCAGCCTGAGCTTCTTAATGTATTGGCCTCTCTGTTCCTCTTTTGCTTCTCCAGGGGAGAAGATTTTTAAACCAAGGGATAGATTTTTTTTAAAAAAAAGAGAGAGAGATTTAAAAAATAGATCATTTTTTTCCAAGTAGCCTTTGACTATGGAGGGCTGGAATGCCAGCGGTTCTGATCACGGAAGTTTGCCACACTTGTGGAGAAAGTGTCTTGATGCAAGAGTTACTATTCAGCGCAGGTTTCCATTTATACACGGCAATCGTGCATGCGCCAAAGAGAACTTGAACATGACCTCGGCTGGCTGTGAAGCCCAGCAGCCCAGCTGGGCATCATTAAACCATGAAAAGATGTTGCTTCGGAAGGGAATGAAATGCCTCTCCAGGGCAGAAAGCTTCAGGAAGGAACCACTCGGTTTAGCCCTGCAGGGATGGAAGACCTTCATTCTGCAGACCTGGGGAGGACAAGGGCAGACAATTCGCTCTTTCAGGAGAAATGAAGTTCAGTTCCTAACCCTTGATTTTGTGAGCATGCACCACCGCCTTGCAATTCCATTTGCAAGTGGGGTGGGGAAATGCAAGAGCCACTTCTAGTTTATTTGACAGATTTATGCACCAGAAAAATTGTCAGTGACAGCACCAGCAAGAATAATAATGCCGTATTTTTCGCTCTATAAGACGCACCGGACCACAAGAAGCACCTAGTTTTTGGAGGAGGAAAACAAGAAAAAAAATATTCTGAATCTCAGAAGCCAGAACAGCAAGAGGGATCACTGAGCAGCGAAAGCAGCGATCCTTCTTGCTGTTCTGGCTTCTGGGATAGCTGCACAGCCTGCATTCGCTCCATAAGACGCACACACATTTCCCCTTACTTTTTAGGAGGGGAAAAGTAAGTCTTATAGAGCAAAAAATACAGTAAATGTTTTGGGTGGACAGGCACTAGGTTTGCCAGACCCCCAGGGCTGACCTGAAGAGTGTGTGTGTGTGTGTGTGTGTGTGTAACTGTGTGACTGTGTAGCTTGCAGGATTCAGCTAGGCAGGATCGGGCCGCAAATTATTGCATAGACTCTCTTGAGTGGGGGTCTGGCTTCCTCTGCTCCCTCCTCCCCTCTCCCTATTAACCTCCGTCTCCAGGGCTCAGTGTTGGGAAGGAGCAGAAAGGAAAGGGGGAGGGACCTGGGCTGGGCTCAAGAAGAGGATTGCAAGTGTACATGCATGCCAGGCACCAGAATCCTCCCCCTGGGTCTCAAGTTTGAGCCCTGGAATTTCAGGGTCTGGGGTACTTATTCCTGAGCTGGCAATCCTAGCAACCTTTTAGGGAGGACATTAGCTTTGCCCCACGTGTCAGGTTTATGGAAGAGAAATAATGCTTGGCTTCACTCTAATCTCAGGCATAGTTTCTGTGAAGACCTGTTGTTTTTTGGTGGGGCTGTACAGTTAGGTGGGGACGTGGGTGGCACTGTGGGTTAAACCACAGAGCCTAGGACTTGCTGATCAGAAGGTCGGCGGTTTGAATCCCTGCAACGGGGTGAGCTCCCATTGCTCGGTCCCTGCTCCTGCCAACGTGGCAGTTCGAAAACACATCAAAGTGCAAGTAGATAAATAGGTACCACTCTGGCGGGAAGGTAAACGGCGTTTCCGTGCGCTGCTCTGGTTTGCCAGAAGCGGCTTAGTCATGCTGGCCCCATGGCCAATAAAGCGAGATGAGCGCCGCAACCCCAGAGTCGGCCACGACTGGACCTAATGGTCAGGGGTCCCTTTACCTTTACCAAGGTGTTGTCATTTGTGGACCTTAAGGTCCTCCGTGGGGCATACCAGGAAAGGCGGTCCCATAGGTTTAATATACTCTTCTATCCCCCCAAATTATTATCTTTAAGCTTCAGGGCCCAAGGAAAACCACTTGCAAGAGAAATAACACGAAGCTGAGCAAGAAACCCATCAAAGTCCTACCCTCAGATGAAGTTAATTCACCTTCAGTTCACTTGGAAATTCCAGGGACTCCTTTCTGGAGATTTTTGAACTAGTTCAGTGAACCTGGTTAAACTGAATGAGTGCTTCTTTGTGGGGGCTTGCAGATAAAGGCTGCAATCCCGTACCCACTTTACCTGGGAGAAAAGTCCCACTGAATTGAAAGGGGGAAGCGCACCCACAGGATTGCAATGTTAGGATGTGGATCTCAGAGGGAGCCTTAGCATACCTTTTGGGAGGTGAAGGGAGCGCTGGGACTGGGGGAGGGGGGAGAGAAGAGAGACTTTGAAATGTTGTTCATTTTCAGACACACGCCCTGCAATTGTTCATTCCCAGACTGGTGCTTTTATTTTCGAAATTACTCTGTCCTTCTCTTTCTCTCCCCGAAAGGGCTATCTTTTAAAGAAAAGGAGAAGTAGAAAATTGTAGACTAGAAAGGAGAAATGCCTGTAGGACAAAGGGAGCTATCAAGAGCCCGTCAATAGCCTGCCAAAAGGCCAGAGAGACAGAGAGAGCTCACCCAGCTCACTCACAAAGCGGCTGAGTGGATCCGGGCAGGACATTTGCGGCAATTAAGCGGTAATCGTTTCGCTGGCAGTGAAAATTTCTTATTATTATAATTCTGCAGGCTTTTTAGGGAACCAGGTCTGAGCGGCCCCCAAAGGAAAGGAGTACGCAGGAGAGGAGGGGGAGTTGGCACAATGTAGAGGCCAGAGTGTTGGGTTGGGACCTGCGAGACCAGGGTTCGAATCCCCCCCTCGGCCACGAAGCTCGCTGGGTGACCCTTGCGTGGGTCAGCCTACCTCACAGGGTTGTTGTGGAGATGAAATGTCACAAAGAATTAACCCTGAGGTCCAGCTCCGAGGGTCTTCTGGCGGTTCCCTCACTGCGAGAACCTAAGTTGTAGTGAACCAGGCAGAGGGCCTTCTCGGTGGTGGCACCCGCCCTGTGGAACGCCCTCCCACCAGATGTCAAAGAGAACAACAACTACCAGACTTTTAGAAGACATCTGAAGGCAGCCCTCTTTAGGGAAGTTTTTAATGTTTGATGCATTACTGTATTTTAATATTGTGTTGGAAGCTGCCCAGAGTGGCTGGGGAAGCCCAGCCAGATAGGCGGGGTATAAATAATAAATTGTTGTTGTTGTTGTTGTTTTTACATTGTCAAGCTCCCTGTGTTCTTTGGAGGAAGGGTGATAGAAAAAATAATATAATACTAATTAATAATAATGTAACATAGATTCGGAAGGGGTAAACACTGAAACATTGAAAGAAATATTGAGACATTGAAAGAATATAAGAACATACATGTTCTCACAGTGGCCAAGTGGCCTTAAGAACCTAGGAATCCAGATAGACTTCTCAACCTGTGGGTCCCCAGATGTTGTTGGACTACAACTCCCATCATTCCTAGCCAGCATGACCAGCGGTCAGGGATGATGGGAGTTGTAGTCCAACAACATCTGGGGACCCACAGGTTGAGAACCGCTGCTCATAGACCGTCTCTCTGCCTCTCAGCCTGAGTCCTCCCCCATGGAAAAGGGTGCCTTGCTGGCTGTGGATAGGAGGAGGAGGAGGAGTCGCCAGCCGCTACAATGCGTCACACACATTATATACCTCTTGTGGAAGGGAGTTCCACAGTTTGCGCTGCATGAAAACGCCCTTTTTTTAATCCGTCCTGAATCGTCCCAATATTCAGCTTCATTGAACGCCCATGAATTCTAGCGTTATGAGAGAATATTCCCTGTCCACTTTCTCCATGCCTTGCACAATTTTATAATTTTTTTATCATTATTATTATTGTGATTATTTTTTTAAGGAGAACGTGTATGCAGCTTGCAGGCTTCAGTCTGGCAGGAGCTGGCTGAAAATGATGGCATAGACCATGGGTAGGCAAACTAAGGCCCGGGGACCGGATCCGGCCCAATCGCCTTCTCAATCCGGCCTGCGGACAGTCCGGGAATCAGCGTGTTTTTACATGAGTAGAATGTGTCCTTTTATTTAAAATGCATCTCTGGGTTATTTGTGGGGCATAGGAATTCGTTCATTCTCCCCCCCAAAAAATATAGTCTGGCCCCCCACAAGGTCCGAGGGACAGTGGACCGGCTCCCTGCTGAAAAAGTTTGCTGATCCCTGGCGTAGACACTCTGGGGGACTTGTCTTCCTCTGCTCCCCTCTCCCAATTAACCTCCGTTTCCAGGCACCAACCCTGCAACATCTGAAACATCCCAGCCTGGAGAGCATGAGATTCTTAATCTCAGGGCTGTGGGTTCGCGCCCCGCATTGGGCAAAAGATTCCTGCATTGCAAGAGATTAGTCCCTTCCAATTCTACAATTCTGTTATCTCCTGGGCCGCATCCAGTGTTTGAGATGCTCTTGACCTGGCAACCCTAGGCAGGGTCACCCCCAAGGCTAGTTGTCAGCAAGAGGGCAGGCAGGTAGGAGCCAGCTGGGGGCAGATTATGGGGCAGTGCCCCCTTTGCTCAATGCCACCACCCTCCAGTGGTTGCATGTTTGAATATTAACCCATGTTTTTTCCTTGAGGTTGAAGATGGAGGGAGCCCAGGGGAGTCAGAGGCTGTGTTGTCCAAAGACCTGCTGGTTCGGGGAGCGGCAGGCTGAGCAGACTCCTTCAGACCCCTGCATTCAAAGTTCTCCATCTTCATAGACTTTCAACCTTCTTCAGCATCACACCCCAAGAGCATTTTGGGAAACCTGTAATCCTGTCTGGGCAAAATATGCCAGTGTGGGGGCAAGCCCAGAGGCCAAAAGTGGACAGAGGAACTAATGAAACTTTAACCTTTGTATAGTAGGTTGGTTCTATGAACGCGTCCCTTTCTCTGTCCTCCACCCAGACAAGCAAAGAGTTCAAGAGGCATTCAGAGTCCTACTCCCAAAACCAGTTTACTTTTTAAAAAAACATTTTTTATTTTTCCATGTATACTTCTTCTAACAATATATCTTTAAAAAGAATTCATATTTCCACCTTCCTCCCCTGGACATCCCTCATACAGTGGTGCCTCGCAAGACGAAATTAATCCGTTCCGCGAGAGTCTTCGTCTAGCGGTTTTTTCGTCTTGCGAAGCAAGCCCATTGACGGATTAGCGCTATTAGCGCTATTAGCGGTTTAGCGGCTATTAAAGGCTTAAAGGCTTAGGGGATTAGCTGCTAAAAGGCTATTAAAGGCTATTAAAGGCTTAGCAGATTAGATAAAGGGGGAAGCGAAAAAAATCTCAAGACTCGCAAGGTATTTTCGTCTTGCGAAGCAAGCCCATAGGGGAATTCGTCCTGCGAAGCAACTTCAAAACGGAAAACCCTTTCGTCTAGCGGTTTTTCCGTCTTGCGAGGCATTCGTCTTGCGGGGCACCACTGTATTCCCGTTTTGTTTTATTTCCATTTTCTTCACCCTGCGTATTGTTTCCCCAGAATTTTCCCAATACATATAGTCTTATTTTTTGTTGTATACAGCTGTGATTGTTTACTCAAACGCTGCCAATGAGTCCGTTTCTTTATGTTGTAAGTGGTTCCTATTCTCTTTTAAATTCTTTGTTGTCCTCTTCATGTAGTTTTTCTGTTAGTTTTGCCAGTTCTGCATATTCCATAAGTTTCCCTTGCCATTGTTCTTTCGTTGGTATTTCTTCTGTCTCCCAAGTTTGCGCTAATATACCGTAATTCTTGCCGCTGTTGTTGCATACATAAATAATTTCCAATTTTCTTTTTTTACATCTTGGTCTAAAATTCCTAGGAGGAATGCTTCTGGTTTTTTAACAAAAGTCTTTCTAAACATTTTTTCCAATTCATTATATATCATTTCCCAATAATTTTGCATTCCCACCACATATGATAAAATGTGCCATCTTTTTCTTTACATTTCCAACAGGTTTTTGATCCTTTTTATACATTTTGACTACTTTCTCTGGTGTTATATCCCATCTATACATCATTTTCATATAATTCTCTTTCAGTAAGATACAATCTGTAAATTTTAGCTTCACCTTCCACATCTTTTCCCAATCTTCAAATTGTATATTATGACCTAAATCCTGAGCCCACTTTATTTGTGCTGACTTTACCATTTCATCTAACGCCCAAAACTAGTTTCCTAACCCCCCATCACACACCGGGGATCAGGAGAGCTCGTGAACCCTGTAATGGAACCGTAGCGGTTTGGAGACATTTCTGGACGTTTGCAGGCTTGAACTCAAAACTCATTGCAAACCCTTTTCAGAACAGAGCCCTGGCCACGCAGCGGGGGGACGAAAAGGATTTCCTCAATGTTTTTGGCCTGCTTCTGGTTGGAAGACTAGTGATTTTGTTGTTGTGACGTATAGAGAAGACAACAAATCACAGCCTACCATCCAGCACAGGCCCACCCTCCCCACAAATCGCAAAACCACGTCGTCGTCGTCGTCGTCGTCCCCGTTCCGTTCCACTTCTTCCTCCTTCCTTTCCCTGAGGCCATGAGACGTCAGCTGCAGTCAGTTTGGATCAGCAAAGTTCCCCCCATTTGTTAGTTGTCGTTTTTGAATTATTATGCTCCTACATCATTAAAAAATACACATCACAGCAGTTTACAACAGCCTCTGGCTATAATTAAAACACACGTAAAAAAAATCAAAGACCTTCAACTAACCATTATGGAAGAATCCCTTCAAACTCTACAATTTTATGATTTGATGATGTTGTATTAATTGCCTGTTTAAGCCTGGCAACACAGAAAAGTTTTCAGAAACAGAAGGCGCCTACTGAATTTCCAGTGGCAGGGCGTTCCACAGGACTGGGCTGATGGCACTAAAGGCTCAGTGAGCGAACTGGGGTGTAAGGGCTTAGGCAGTCCCTGAGGCACCCTGGACCTAAGTTGCTTGGGGCTTTTTAAATTAATACAAGGAGCTTGAAACTGGCTGCATAAAAGTTAGGCTATTACATAGGCAGCCTTGTGCTTTTCCCATCCTGTGCCTTGTGTAAGTATCCCTAACAAAGAGGGGCATTCCCCCAACTTTCTGGGTCGCTGGGTTTTATTTTACTTGAGAGAAAGAAGTTGGCGCCTTGCAAAACGTGCCACAACCCACCACTGCTTCCAGTCAAAGGCAGAGCAGAGTGAATTGTCAGTATCTTCTCTCCCCAAGTTTTTGATGAACAGTTTTCTGTTTACTTAATTCTGCTGGTGTCCTTTTTTCAAAATAAAATAAAAATAAAATTGACTTGTTTTGCACAGCACACTAAACTAGGAGCAGGGAATCCAAGACTGTTGGGCCAGGTGCGGCTCACAGCAAGATTTGATCTAGAACTCTGGTTCCCCCTCCCCAGCATCAACTGTTCAGTATGGAAGGGGAATGAGGAATTGTGTCAGGGGTACAATCTGCAAGAAGATCAAAACAAATCTCAGCCAACCTGCGTTCCATATATGTATGTGTGTCCTGTCCCTGTTCAAAGCCTCAATCACATAACATCATCCATGCTTTTCCATTTGCATGCATGTCAGTTTGGGGTGTGCATGTGTTTGCGTGTGCAATGGCATTTTGTGTCTGAAGCTTTGAATAGGGACAAGGCAAGGCTTCGCAGTCCAGCTGTGCTTTGACCTTATTTTTATTCTACTGCTGGTGTTCTTTTTGCCTTTTGCACAGTCAGGGCTGATCAAGGGTGTTGCTGAGCTGCTGCTGCTGCTGCTATTTTTTAAAAAAGTATTATTTAACAAACTTTTTAAATAAAAAAACTATGGAGAATGAGGAACCTTACTAAGAATGATTGTCATGATTATCCATAGAATTTGTTAGCTGCTTGTCATGCAACAAGGCTTCCAGGTGACTTGCAACATATTTTATGTTATTTCTAAATAAGACTTTGTATTAATTTTTCAACTATTAAAATCCAATATAAACCACATTTTATCAATGTCAAATTACAATTCAAATGTATACCAGTTATAAAGCCAACGTATTTTAACTTGCAACGTATTTTAAAAGCACGAGTACAAAAATCACCGGGTTGCAACCAAATGTGGTCCTGCTCAGAGTAGACCAATTAAAGTTACTGAGAGTGGGTACCTTTGTGCCATTGGCTTCAGTCGGTTTAAAAAGGTAAAGGGACCCCTGACCATTAGGTCCAGTCATGGACGACTCTGGGGTTGCGGCGCTCATCTCGCTTTACTGGCCGAGGGAGCCGGCGTACAGCTTCCGGGTCATTTGGCCAGCATGACTAAGCCACTTTTGGCGAACCAGAGTAGCGCACGGAAACGCCGTTTACCTTCCTGCTGGAGCTGTACGTATTTATCTACTTGCACTATGACGTGCTTTCAAACTGCTAGGTTGGCAGGAGCAGGGACCGAGCAACGGGAGCTCACCCCGTCGCGGGGATTTGAACCCCTGACCTTCTGATCGGCAAGTCCTAGGCTCTGTGGTTTAACCCACAGTGCCACCCGCGTCCCTTTTACAGTGGTTTTACTCGTGAGTATATTACAATGGAAAGACGTTTACATGAAACAACAAAAATAAATACACAGGCATCTGTCTGACTTGAGAGACAATGGATTGCACCGGGGGGGGGGGGTCAAACTGTTGTGTTAGCAGCACCAAAGTGATGTCTCTGGGGCAAAAGCCTGGGCAGTGTGTCTGGAGATCCTGGTCTGTCCAGACAAGAAGACCCCCCCCTCTCAGCTTTGTTGAGGTGGTCCAAAGGAAAGCAGCGCAAGACGTTTGGCACCAGCTTGGCTGCGGGAGTTGCCGGAAGGAGGTGGACAACAAGCCATCCCACTGTCTTGGGCATTCCACACCAGTTTTGCATAGGTTTTGGCCCTCCAGCTGTTTTGGGACTACAATTCCCATCATCCCTGACCACTGGTCTTATTAAGCTAGGGATGATGGGAGTTGTAGTCCCAAAACAGCTGCAGGGCCAAGTTTGGCCATGCCTGGTTTACACCTTAAAGGTAAAGGGGACCCCTGACCATTAGGTCCAGTCGCGGACGACTCTGGGGTTGCGGCACTCATCTCGCTTTATTGGCCGAGGGAGCTGGCGTACAGCTTCCGGGTCATGTGGCCAGCAGGACTAAGCCGCTTCTGGCGAACCAGAGCAGCGCATGGAAGCGCCGTTTACCTTCCTGCCGGAGCGGTACCTATTTACTTGCACTTTGACGTGCTTCCGAACTGCTAGGTTGGCAGGAGCAGGGACCGAGCAATGGCAGCTCACCCTGCCGCGGGGATTTGAACCGCTGACCTTCTGATTGGCAAGCCCTAGGCTCTGTGGCTTAACCCACAGCGCCACCTGCGTCCCTTGGTTTACACCTTAGCCCTTCTCCCGCAAGGCAGCACATTACAGCCAACAGCCAATGACAACATCACAGTCAGTGGGGGCTGGTACTTAATGGGACTGGGTAGGGTGGAATCCTGGGAGCCCAACAGTAGGTGGCGCCAGAACCAATGACAGGCAGAGCAAGTGGAGCCAACTCCTTCGAGTTTTGTCCCCATCCCTCTCCTCACTGCTGATTTCTACAGGGGCAACCCTGAGATGCTATAGGAGGAAACTGCCAGGCAGTGCTGCCCCCCCAGGACTGGTTTTGAGGTTGGTGGGTGAGGCCTGACTGAGCGCAAGCGGAAGATAACGGGGCAGGGACCCCTTCGCGATATGGACCAGCCCCCACTGATCACTGCCCATCAAAAGCCTGGTAGGAAAGTAAGTTTTGACCTGGTGCCAGGCAGACCTTCTCGGGCAGAGTGTTCCTCAAACAGGAAGTCACCACCGAAAAGGCCCTATGCCTTGACATAGTCCTCCAAGCCTCTTTCCACAAAGGGAGATTGAAAGGTCCAGGTAGGATCGTATTGGGAGAAGCCACCCCAGAAGGTCCTGAGTTGTAAAGAAAATTAAACGTACCCCTTTGGCGACCAAACATCAGGAAGAACGTTTCGGATGGCGAGTGCTGTTCATGGTAGAATGGACTCCTACGAGAGGTGGTGGTTTTTAAGTAGGTGGTCGTTGGCGGTTTTTAAGCAGAGATGGAATGGCCACCTATCATGTATGATCTAGCTGCGATTCCTGCATTGCAGGGGGTTGGACTGGATGACCCTCGGGGTCCCTTCCCACTCTGATTCTGTGACTCCATGGTTTGTGAGTCTGCCCTGCTCACATTTGGGTCTAGTCCCACTTATTAGATTTCAGGCCCCCGAAACCTTTCCACATCCCCTCCCCAGAGTGCTGCCCCTTTTTGGGGGGGCCATTTTGCCCATCTTTCTTGGACGTTGTGCTTTGGGGTTTTTTCAACAGCACATCCCACACTCCGCTGCTGCAGCTGGGCTCCCGCGAAACCCCACAACCTCTCAGCAGGAGGGACCCGAGTGCCTTCTCTCTCCTTCCTTCTGCTGCCCCACTTCCTACCTGATTGACTGTCCTCTAGCCCACATAGCCGTGACCTCAATTATTTATTTACCACGTCGAAGACGGAATGGAGGACAAGTGTTCCCGTCGAGATGTGATGTGCGTATCTCTCTGGGTCTTGGTTGGCCTGTGTTTTCTTTCAACAGATTCTTTGCGATACCTTGCGATTCCGGGAAAACAAGGATGCTATTGGCAATTGCCTTTGTGGCAGAACAGAGGCTTTTCTGTGTGTGTGTGTGTGTGTGTGCGCGCGCGCCCCCGCCAAGATCAGTTGCCTTTGTGACAGGAACATTGTTGAGTTGCTAAAAGTCATGTTCACCACTTCTTATTTAATCCGGACTTACCGTTCCATGCAGACATCCGCTTAGATCAAGCATGTCCAAAGTCCGTTTCCGGGGCCTAATCCGGCCTGCTGGTTGGTTTAATCCAGTTTATTTCCTGGGGTAAATTCCTAAAAAAAAAACCTCCACAACTTCAATCCTAAGAAAAGCTCCACAACTGCAATCTTAAAAAAAAACCTCAACAACTTTGGGGTAAAATCATAAAAAAGCTCGAGCTTCAATCTTCACGGTTCTTCAATTCATCAATGGCAGCGGCATCCCCCTGCGTGGACCCACATGTCAGGAATCGAACCTCCTACATGCAGGGCATCTAGCTGTGAAGGTTACCTGTTTAAGATGGCGTTGTATTCGCTTTTAAGGAGCAAGGGCACAGCTTGTTTGGGCTCCTGGATACCTCTTGAATACCTCCAGAAGACTGGAGAGATTGGAGAACCGGGCCTAAGCTAAAAAACAAGTTTTGCACTTAGGCAGGAAGAACCAGATGCACAAATATAAGGCAGGGGAGACGTAGCTTACTGGCATTCCATGTGAAAAGGACCTTAGGGGTCTTGGTGGACCACAAGCTGAACATGAGTCAATAGTGTGAGGCAGCAGCGGGGAAAAGCTAATGCAGTTCTGCACTGCATCAACAGAAGTCTAGTGTCCAGCTCAAGGGGAGTAATAGTACCGCTCTATTCTGCCCTGGTCAGACCACAGCTGGAATACTGTGTCCAATTCCAGGCACCACAATTTAAGAAGGATGTTGACAGGCTGGAAGGTATGCAGAGGAGGGCGACCGAGATGATTAAGGGTCTGGAAAGCAAGCCTGATGAGGAACGGTTGAAGGAGCTGGGATTGTTTAGCCTGGAGAAAAGGAGACTGAGAGGAGATATGAGACCTGTTAAGTTGTGGGCGAACATAGCAGACGACACAGCGATTCTTCAAACAGCTCTTCTTTATTCAGATGTCAGACCAGAACTAAGCTGAGGGGCTCAGTCAGCCTGCTTATATAGAGCTCCAGAACAATGTAACTGTTGCCATTTTCTAAAACTATCCAATCACTGAACGTCACTTTTCGATCCTTCATTTGCATAACTATCTACAGTATCCCCCTGCTGGCCCAGGGTGAGAACTTCAGTACATAACAAGACCCATCATCAAACATCTAAAAGGCTGTTGCATGGAAGAGGAAACAAGCTTTGTTTTCTCCTGTTCAGGAGGGCAGAACTTGAACCAATGGCTTCAAGTTACAAGAAAGGAGGTTCTGACTAAACATTAGGAATAACTTTCGGAAGGCAAGAGCTGTTTGACAGCGGAACAGTCTCCCTCAGGAGGTGGTAGACTCTCCTTCCTTGGAGGTTTTTAAGCAGAAGTTGGACAGCCATCTGTCAAGGATGCTTTAGCTGAGATTCCTGCATTGCAGTGGGTTGGACTGGATGACCCTTGGGGTTCCTTCCAACTCTACAATTATTTTTCATTGAGCAGCTTAATTTACAAAGCCCTGAGCAATTTAGGTCCAGGGACGGCCCGAGCCCCGGCATTCCAGCTCAGGAGAGCCGTTGACTGTCCAGCAAGTTGCAAAGGTCCACTGGCAGCAGCAAGACACCAATAAGAAATAAATAAGAAGGCTGTATGCACAGATTATTTAAAGCAGGGGTCCCCAAACTAAGGTCCGCAGGCCGGCTAAGGCCCGAGGGACTCGTTTATCTGGCCCGCAGAGACCCCCGCCGCCGCACTGCACGGCTGCCCACTTCCAGGTCGGAGGAGCACCGGAGATAGCTTGTGCGCATGTGCGTTATGTGCGCATGCGCGTTATTTCCAGTGCACATGCACACAAGCTATTTCCGGTGCTCCTCTGACCCGGAAGTGCGCCAGAAATAGTGTGTGTGCATGCATATGGGCATGCACTCCCCCGCCCTCTGGCCTGCCGTGCAATCAGCGCTAGAGACACCGGCCCGAGGCGCAGTAAGTTTGCTGACTCCTGATTTAAAGGGACAGGGATGGAAACGCCTTTCCCCCAGCTGCAATAAAACTTAGTGATGAGCTGTTGCCTAGGGCAGGGGTCAGCAACCCGCAGCTCCGGAGCCGCACATGGCTCTTTTACACCTTTGCCGCAGCTCCGGGGCGGATACTAGCGAGGGGAGGAGGCACACTGTGCACCCCGACACTCCCCACTGTGGCGGGCGCTGTACTGGCTGTGACGTCGCATGGGGGCGGTGCGTACGTTAGTCACGCACCGTCCCGACGTCACCTTCCCGCCCGCCCGCTACATTGAAAGGGGGCATGTACGCTGGTCACTGTTTTGAAGGGGAGTGAAGAACACACACACACAAAAAGGTAACTTGTTAATTTAACGTTTATTTCTATGAGGAGGAGTAATTCTGAGGGGTCAAACAAAGAAATAATTTTTTAAAAGTGACAAAAAGGTTATTTTTATAATGACGGGTTTTGCGGCTCCCAGTTTTTTTTTTCTTCAGAAACGGGTCCAAGTGGCTCCTTTTGTCTTAAAGGTTGCAGACCCCCGGCCTAGGGGGCTGCAGACTTGAAAGGCAGCCCCCATTGTGAGCTCCGGGGAGGCTGGACCCCCTGCCTCCCAAAAAGAACATCACTGCAAGGAGGGAACCGACTGGGGCTTCCTTTCCCCCTCCCAGAGGAAAGAACGCTTAGAAGGACCACGCGGCTGAGAGCTTTAGTAGAAGCTTGCTTTCCCCCCTTCTCCTTCCCAGCCGCTTTTCCTTTTGTGCCGTGTCTTTTAGATTTTGAGCCTGAGAATGCAGGCACCTTATTACTCATCACTGCAAGCCACTCTGGGACACATTTGGGGGTGGGGTGAGGGCCCTGAAGAGCAGGGCGAAAATCTTCCGATTAAAAAAACTGAAATAAGCTTCCTCAGCCCAGCATTAGAAGACGATGGGGATTTGCTACCTCTCCAGAAGAGTCTTAAGAGGCTGGTTTCTCTCCCTGGTGTGGCAACCTGTGTCTGGTCGAACTTGGTCCCTACTCCCTCCTGGCTCACCAGTCCCCAGCCCCCAGTAAATCAAAATGCTCCTAAAGAACATTGGAAGAACATTATCTGCTAGATCTGCTTGCAGGCCAAAGAGAGGGAGAGATATCTGCAAATGCAACACAATGGAGGGATGTTGCCACTTGTCCCTGGCTAATGGGTACTTCAGAGGAAAATGTCAGAGTGTATCTGGGTACCATAGCAACATGGTACATTCCAATCTCCCGCTTCAAAGCTGCAAATCATTCGTTCTTCAGGACTGGGTCCACTGAGCCTCTTGGGCTTGCTGATCAGAAGGTCGGTGGCTCAAATCCCAGCGATGGGGTGATTGCTCGGTCTTTCTCCTGCCAACCTAGCAGTTCAAAAGCAACCAGGTAAAACGCGGGTGGTGCTGTGGGTTAAACCACAGAGCCTAGGACTTCCTGATTAGAAGGTCTTGGGCTTGCCGATCAGAAGGTCGGTGGTTCGAATCCCCACGATGGGGTGAGCTCCTGTTGCTCGGTCCCTGCTCCTGCCAACCTAGCAGTTCCAAAGCACATCAAATTGCAAGTAGATAGATAGGTACCGCTCCAGCAGGAAGGTAAACGGGGTTTCCGTGCGCTGCTCTGGTTCACCAGAAGCGGCTTAGTCATGCTGGGCACATGGCCCAGAAGCTGTACGCCGTCTCCCTCGGCCAATAAAGCGAGATGAGCGCCACAACCCCAGAGTCGGCCACGACTGGACCTAATGGTCAGGGGTCCCTTTACCTTTACCCCCACCACACACAACCCGCTATGGCTGGAGTTCTCACCACTCTGTGTCCCAGAGCAGAATGATGGACAGGTGGAGTGGCAGGTGAAGCTTTTCTGGTCGTTGCACCACTCCTCCATCACACACACCCACACCCACCACCACTGACCTGGGTTTCTGGTTCTTTACTAGTACTCACCATGAAAATATGCACACACCAGTGGGGGGGGGGGGGGAGACACTAATCCCATTTATTTATAATATATTTTATTACCCACCCTTCGCCTTAATGTCCCGGGGCACACGGCAACATTAAGAACTGTTTGAAACGGCTGAGAATCATGTCACCGAATCGTAGAGTTGGAAGGGTCAATGCAGGTATCCTTTGGCCAGTGTGAGACTCGAACCCAAGGCCCTGAGATTAAGAGTCTCATGCTCTACACACTGAGCTGTTCTTCTTGTTGTTTATCTACCTGTTGAAATATATATATTCTGGGCTGCATCAATAGGAGTATAGCATCTAGATCATGGGAAGTAATAGTGCCACTGTATTCTGCTCTGGTCAGACCTCACCTGGAGTACTGTGTCCAGTTCTGGGCACCACAGTTCAAAAAGGACATTGACAAACTGGAACGTGTCCAGAGGAGGGCAACCAAAATGGTCAAAGGCCTGGAAACGATGCCTTATGAGGAACGGCTAAGGGAGCTGGGCATGTTTAGCCTGGAGAAGAGGAGCTTAAGGGGTGATATGATAGCCATGTTCAAATATATAAAAGGATGTCACATAGAGGAGGGAGAAAGGTTGTTTTCTGCTGCTCCAGAGAAGCGGACACGGAGCAATGGATCCAAACTACAAGAAAGAAGATTCCACCTAAACATCAGGAAGAACTTCCTGACAGTAAGAGCTGTTTGACAGTGGAATTTGCTGCCAAGGAGTGTGGTGGAGTCTCCTTCTTTGGAGGTCTTTAAGCAGAGGCTTGACAACCATATGTCAGGAGTGCTCTGATGGTGTTTCCTGCTTGGCAGGGGGTTGGACTCGATGGCCCTTGTGGTCTCTTCCAACTCTATGATTCTATGATTCTATACACACACACACACACACACACACACAAAACCACTCCAAATGGATAAACTCAGTAAAATGTGTATTTTTGCTCCCCCAGTGCAAAGACACGCCTTAAAAGACCCCTCCCCAAGTCTGCACCGCATATTTAAGGCAGTTATCACACCGCATTCAACAGTCCTGGCTCCCCACCCTCCCTGGGAACTGCAGTTTGCTCAGGGTGCTGAGGGTTGCTAGGTGGAGAAACCCGCCCCCACCTCGCCTTCCTAAGCAGGTTTACTCGTGAGCAACCCCCCCTCCCACCCCCCGGCGTTTCCCTCCTTCCCTTCCCAGAAACCTTTGCTTCCCCCGCTCCGTTCCCGCTCTGCCTTCTGGGAAATGGAGTCCCTCACCCTCCGCGGCGCTCCAGGGCTGTAGTCCGCCGCGGACTCCGCTTCCCAGGAGCCACCGCGCGGCGGCCGGCCACACTCTAAAGCCGCCTGGGGATTGTAGTCTTCCTGCGCAGGCGCGCCTCCTGGAAACCCATAGTGCGGCCCCGGAGCGCAGGACTACGACTACCGGCATGCATTTCTGCGGCCAGCCATTTTGGGGTGGTGTTTTCCTTCCCCCCTCCCTCCCTCCCACCCCTATATCCCCCTGAATATACTTAAGATGGCGCCGGGGGCAGGAATAGACTGAAGGTTGCAGCTGTGGAGGGAGGAGAGAGGCGCTGGGGAGGAAGGCTTGGTTGCTAGGTTACCACCCCACCCCCCCCAAGCCTTGCTGCCCAGGGGCACCCAGAGGAAGGAAAGCCCCCCATGGCCTGAGTCCCCTCACCTATTGGAAAAGGTGCTGTGCGCAAGTGGAGCCCCCTGCCAGCTCATGGGGAGTGGGCAGCCCCCCTGGCCAGAGCCATGGACCTCCGCTTGGCCGTCTACAACGCCGCCCGCGAAGGCAAGCTGAAGCTGCTGCAGAAGCTGCTGGGAACCCGGAGCCGAGAGGAGCTGGAGGAGCTGACGGCCGGCCCCGGCGGCGGAGAAGGGTCCGGGGGCACGCCGCTGCTGATCGCCTCGCGCCACGGCCACCGCGAGGTGGTGGAGTACCTCCTGGACCACTGCGGCGCCCGGGTGGAGGCGGGCGGCTCGGTCAGCTTTGACGGCGAGACCATCGAGGGAGCCCCTCCGCTTTGGGCCGCGTCGGCCGCCGGCCACCTGGACGTGGCTCGCAGCCTGCTGGAGCGGGGGGCCAACGTCAACCAGACCACGCTCACCAACTCGACGCCCCTGCGGGCGGCCTGCTTCGATGGGCACCTGGAGATCGTGCGCTACCTGGTGGGCGAGAGGGGGGCCGACATGGAGGTGGCCAACCGCCACGGCCACACCTGCCTGATGATCTCGTGCTACAAGGGCCACACGGAGATCGCCCGCTACCTCCTGCAGAGGGGGGCGGACGTCAACCGCCGCAGCGTCAAGGGGAACACGGCCCTGCATGACTGCGCCGAGTCCGGGAGCCTGGAGATCCTGCGCCTGCTGCTGGCCTCCGGGGCGAGGATGGAGAAGGATGGGTACGGCATGACCCCGCTGCTGGCCGCCAGCGTGACTGGCCACACCAACATCGTCGAATACTTTATAGAGGGAGCGTTGGAGGAGGAGGCGGCGGCCGTAGGGGAGCATGACGGCAGCCAGGCAAAAGACGGTGATGGGTGTTCTGCTGCCGGCGACGGCCGTCCCCAAGTTTACTGCACCCGGGAAGCAGCTGTGGAAGCACTGGAGCTCCTGGGAGCCACCTTTGTGGACAAGAAGCGCGACCTGCTGGGGGCCTACAAGCACTGGCGGAGGGCGATGGGCCTTCGCCACCAGGGCGGGCAGTACCTGGCCAAACCGGAGCCTCGCCAGTTGGTGCTGGCCTATGACTACTCGCGGGAGGTGAGCACGGCAGAGGAGCTGGAGACCTTGGTGATCGACCCGGACGAAATGCGGATGCAGGCCCTTTTGATCCGTGAGCGCGTCCTCGGCCCCTCGCACCCAGACACCTCCTACTACATCCGCTACCGGGGGGCCGTGTACGCCGACTCGGGGAACTTCGAGCGCTGCATCAACTTGTGGAAGTATGCGCTGGAGATGCAACAGGGCAACCTGGAGCCGCTGAGCCCCATGACGGCCAGCAGCTTCCTCTCCTTCGCTGAGCTGTTCTCCTACGTGCTGCAGGACCGCTCAAAGGGCACCTTGGCCACGCAGCTGGGCTTCCCCGACCTCATGGGCGTGCTGAGCAAAGGGGTGCGTGAGGTGGAGCGGGCGCTCCTGCACCGCAAGGACCCCGTGGCGGACTGCGCCCAGTTCACCAAAGCCCTGGTCATCATCCTGCACCTGGTCTTCCTTCTGGAGAAGGTGGAGTGCACCCCCGAACAGGAGCACCAGAAGCGGCAGACCATCTACCGCCTCCTGAAGTGCAACCCGCGGGGCAAGAACGGCTTCACGCCGCTGCACATGGCGGTGGACAAGGACACCACCTCCGTCGGCCGCTACCCGGTGGGGAAGTTCCCCTCCCTCCACGTGGTCAACCTCCTCCTGGAGTGCGGGGCCGACCCTGACGGCCGCGACTACGACAACAATACCCCTCTGCACGTGGCCGCGCGCAACAACTGCCCGCTCATCATGAGCGCCCTCATAGAGGCCGGGGCGCACATGGACGCCACCAACGCCTTCAAGCAGACGGCCTACGAGCTGCTGGACGAGAAGCTGCTCACCAAAGCCATGATGCAACCCTTCAACTACATCACGTTGCAGTGCCTTGCCGCCCGCGCCCTCGACAAGCACAAGATCCCCTACAAAGGATTCATCCCCGAAGAGCTGGAGGCCTTCATCGAGCTCCACTGAAGAGGGGGCGGGCGGCATGGCGAGCCCCCTCCCGCAGGGGCTGGGGCTGGGATTCGGCCCGCCTCCGCTCGGGTTTGGATTTTAAAATGCTTCCATTTGCACACTGGGCCGGGTCGACCTGCCCTCTCTCTCTCTCCGGGGGGAACCTGTGGAAATTGAGAGCTGCTCTCGCTGGGCCACCTTGGTGGGGCTGCCCTGGGCACCCCAGGTGGCTGGATGTAGCCCCCACTCTGTGACCTAGTGTGGCTCTAGGGGAGTTGGGGGCAGAATAAGGGTGGACAAAACCAGCTGCTCGTCGCCCTGCCCCCTGAAAAGAAAGGGAGCCCACCAGGATCCCCTGAGTGACGGCCACTTCCCAGCTCACACAGATGGCAGGGTTCAAGCAGCACGGTCAGGTCAGAATTGCTGCTGCCCTCCATTGCCAACTAATTTTTTTTTCCTCTTCAAAGCACACACACACACACACACACACACACACACACACGCAAATCCTATTTTTGACCTCTTGCTTTCTAAAGCCCAGCCTGCCTTAGAAGCTTTAAGAGCGGCTAGGTTTGCATGCCCTTCCTCCTCTCCCTCCCTTGAAAGCAAGCGAGGGGTTTTAGGCGAGCCTGCAGTCAAGTCTTAAAAAAAAACAAAACCTGCTCTACCCTTTTTTCAGTGACAGCCTGTGCCGGAGGGGGGTGTGTGAAAGTTTCAGCCAAACACTGCGGGTAATGTTGAAAGTTAGCTTTGTTACGCTTCGCGCAGCTGACCCAACCCGGTATGGTGAGGTTTGGTTGTGTTCTGCGTTTGATTTTACTTCATTTTCCAGTGTCCCATATTGCATTGCTGAGATTTTGCTGGCTGTATTGAGAGGCTGGTTGTGGTGTTGTGCTGTGTTTTGCTGTTTTTTCCTCATTTTTTTTTTTTTAAAGATCAAGCTGGTGCTATCACTGGTTCAGGCAGTTGAGGGGGGGTGGAAAAACCCCAAACTCTGAAGTCGCTTTTAGGATCAACCAGCGGCCCCCCGCCTTCCTCCCCACAGAAAGACCAGAGGCAGAAAAACCATTATCAGGCTTCTTTTTCGAGTGTGTTAAAGATGATCCTTTGCGTTAAGACAGCCCCATTCTTTTCAGAGCGCAGATAGGGGTTGTTGTGTTTTGCTTTTTAAGAGGGGAACGTCTTCCAGAATGTTGGGTGGCTAGGGTCTGCTTCTTCTAATAGGTCCTGTGCCTACAGACCCTTCTTCCTTTGCACAGCTGCAGAAAGGGGTCAGAAGTGCTCCTTTAAAGGTCTTTTGGTGGCATCAGGGCAGGGGGAGAGACAGTGGCCCTTGCTTCCAAATTAAATGCAGCGCACAGGCCCAGAGACCTAGTTGGCAGGTTTTGTCCCGGCCGACGGCCCCTTTCTCCACCGGCTGGTTTTGCCGCGTCTTGGGCAGGTCTTAAAAGCGGGGGGTTTGTCAAGCAGCCTCAGTGGATTTCTGCGCTTGCACCACCTCTCCCAGTTGCATTGAGAGAGGTGTCTAATAAGGTGTCTGGAAGGACAGTCAGTAAAGCATGAGACTCTTAATCTCAGGGTTGTGGGTTCAAGCCCCACATTGGGACAAAGGACCCCTGCATCGCATGGGGTTGGGCTAGATGATCTTGGTGGTCTCTTTCCAACTCTACAATTCTGCCATTCTAAACGGCTGTACGCTTCATTCACAGTTGCTCCCTCTCTGAAAGACGGGATCTGTAATCAGCAGACTTTTGAGGTCGTGTTAATTGAACTGTTCTTCAGTCCGGGAATCAAGAGAGTTGTAGAGTCAGAAGGGACCCCGAGAGTCTAGTCCCGACTCCCTGCAATGCAGGAATCTCAACTGACAGGTGGCCATCAAACCTTTGTTCAAAAACCTCCAAGGAAGGGAGAGTCCACCACCTGTGGGGTTCTTCCTGGCGTCCAGTCGGAATCTCCTTCCTTGCAATTTGAATCCGTTGGTTCAGGTCATACGCTCCGGAGCCGGAGAAAAGAAACTTGCTCCGTCCTCCGTGAAGGCTGATCCCTGAAAATGGATTCTCAAACCCTGTTATCCCAGACATGCTGGCCCAGGGCTTGGTGGGAGTCAGGAGTCTCAGGTCTTTGAAGAAGGAAGCAGGGGTCAGGGCTTTATTTGGAATTCAAAGGGTACCCAAAGCACGCTGAGTTTGAGAGTCTGGGGAAAGGGCATGTTGAGCTGCATCCCATTTGGTTGCATCGCATCAACCCAACAGCAAGGCGGATCATGCGGCTGAAAGGTGTACTTGTTGCAGGAGGGAGCATAGCTGTTCACAGTTGCCAGCGCTGTTTGCAGAGACGTTTGGAGCAGTGGTACTGGAGCGCAGTTCTCGGCTGCCATCTTTTGTCAGCCAGCCAGCCACAAGAAAGCGCCGTTGACCCACTGACCATCTCACCCAGCCCTGACAGGGACAGAGCTTGCGCAGAATGCAGATTGGGAGGGGGGCATTGGAAGGTGCTGGCCGCTTGTTAGTCCAGAGGTGTTTCCCCCCCAATAGCCCTTCAGAGGGTCAACATCTGGAATGGTTCAAGAGTTCATCTGACGCGGCTTTCGGAGGGCGGATTCAGACAACAATTTCATCCTCCTCCCTCCCCCTGCCCTGACTTTACAGGGTTGGGAATTCAGTGAACTGGCAAGGTGGCTCCTGATCCATAGCTCAGTCAGTAGAGCATGAGGCCTTTAATCTCAGGGTCGTGGGTTCACGTCCCACCTCGGGCAGAAGATTCCCACATGGCAGGGGGTGGGATTAGGGCAGGGGTCGGCAAACTTACCGCGCCTCGGGCCGGTGTCTCCAGCGCCGATCGCACAGAGGGCATGGGAGCGCGTGCCCATACGCACACGCTATTTCTGGCGCACTTCCGGGTTGGAGGAGCACCGGAAATAGCTTGTGCGCATATGCACGGGCCTCCTCTAACCCGGATGTGCACTGGAAAAACACTTGTGCATGCACAAATAACGTGCATGCGCAAATAACGCTTGCGCATGTGCACAAGCTACTTCCGGTGCTCCTCCGACCCGGAAGTGGGCAGCCGTGCAGCGCCGGTAAGAGCAGGTGGCGGGGTCGCCACAGGCCGGATAAACGAGTCCCTCGGGCCTTATCCAGCCCGCGGGCCTTAGTTTGGGGACCCCTGGATTAGGGCGACCCTCATGGTCGCTTCCAACTCTACAGTTCCACATGGTTTGTCCCAGAGGACGCAATACACATGGGTCCCTCTCCCAAGCCAATGTCTGCTGGAAAATTGAGGCATTTCAGACGCTGGTCCACAGGCTCCTTCATGGCCTGACCGGGCCACTGCTGCCCCCAGTTCCACTAGATCTGCAAGGTGCCATTTCCCAACAAATCAGTGTATGCCACTGTAGCATGAGGGCTTTGTCTGAATCCATCTCCTTACATTTTTGTTTGGGATTTTTTTGGAGGGGGTTGTATGCCAAAGTTGATTGAGTGTTGTGTGTTGACCATCAAAGTTGTGGGCTCCAAGTTTGGTTTCAAAAGGCTCTCTTCGGTGTGGGCAGGAGAGCAAGGGTAGAAAACAGCCGCTGAGGTTGGGTGGGTGGGGGGGTAGAGGAAGGGGTGATTCCCCCCCCCCCGCCAGCTGCCCACCCCTCAAGGCTCTCTCGCTCTTCACAACACTCCTCGGGACCGCTGACCACGTGCTCCCTGCTTGAGACTGGATGGCTCAGCTGAACCATAGCAACCTCAGAAAGGTTTTCCTCAGAGGAGGAATCACTTCGACTGTCCTTCCCCCCTCCCCGCCTCCCGCTTTGTTAAAAAAGCAAACGACAGTTTCGAGGGGTAAAGAAAGGTGGTTTCAGGGTACTGCTGCTGCTGCTGTTGTTTTCTTGCTGCAAAGAAAAGTGTTCATTTAGCAACGCATTGAACAGAATACTCAAGAAGCGGAGTGTGTTAAACTCGTCAGCCGGTGGCAACTCCTAAGTTGGAATGAATGAAATGACACTTTAAAAAAATAAAAAGGAAAAGAAGGAAACGAAAATCCTGCTGCTAAAAAAAACAAACCCCAAATTCCTCTGACTTTCTTGTTCTTATGTCTGTTGGGATCTGGTTGGTTGGTTGGTAGGGGTTGTTTGAGGGATGACATTTCTTCTGCAGAAGGGGAGCTCCCCATTTTCCCACAGGGAAACAGGTTCATTTATGGATGGAGGAATCGGTGCGCAGGGTCCGGCCCTTAAAGTCCTGTTGTCAGCTAGAGAGGCTTCTGGCAATAGCTCCCCAGCAGCAGCTGGTATTTGGGAATATTCTGGCCGTAGTTCAGTGGTGGAGCATCTCCCTTGCAAACAGGGGCCCCCAGATTCAACCCCCAGTTGTTGTAGGGATTAACTAAGGAGCAGGGGCGAACCATGGACCCCTTGGAGAAAAAGGTGGGAGATAATTGCAATCAATAAGCTGTTCTGCTGACCTAAGAGGGCTGGAGGGGCCAGCCGGGTGGAGATCCCAGTCGCCCGCCTGAGATCCAGAAAGATTTCCACGTGGTCGCAGTTGGACCTGCGTCAGTCTCAGGACGCACCTGGTGCCTGGCGAATTTTGTACACTTGGTTCCAGGTTAGGATTCAGGTACCATATTTTTTGCTCTATAAGATTCACTTTTTCCCTCCTAAAAAGTAAGGGGAAATGTGTGTGCGTCTTATGGAGCAAATGCAGGCTGCACAGCTATCCCAGAAGCCAGAACAGCAAGAAGGATCGCTGCTTTCGCTGCTCAGTGATCCCTCTTGCTGTTCTGGCTTCTGGAATTCAGAATATTTTTCTTTTGTTTTCCTCCTCCAAAAACTAGGTGCGTCTTATGGAGCGAAAAATGCGGTATATCTGCTTGGGGCTCCAGCCGAAACCTTGTTTGGATGGGGGCAGAGGACTCTGGACAGCAGTCAAGACATCTGTTGCTTAATATTTCAGCCCCAAAGGGCTGGCCAAACCCCTAGGCGCCACATGCCATTGGTAGGCAGGGGCAGGAGCAAAAGGGGGGGGAGCAACGGTTGTAGATTTTAACCTTTCTCAGTAGTCTAGCTTCTGCACCCACCCAAGCCTTCTCTGTCTTCCATCTAGGAAAGAAGGAGGCATTCAGTAGAGTTCAGGGGCGCATTCTGGCCGGTCAGAAACACCCAAGGGGGTGGGAGCGGTGCAAAGCAAGACCAGCGAGATGTGGGGCCTGGGGGAGAGGGGGTGGGGCCTATGCAGAGTCCTGGATGCCAGGTAGAGAGGTTTGGGGTGGCATATTCAGACCCTGGGCCTGGCATGCATGCCTCTTGTAGAAAGATGCATATAGAAAGTTTTTACCTGGAGGGCAACCTTAATTTCACTTACATGCTCATGGGGCATGGAACAGCGGGCCAGGAACAAGACCTTGGGGAAATGGGGAGGGGGGAAACCATGTGAAACCACCTTGAGATCCTTGGAAAACAAAGGTGGTTAAATCAATAAACTAATAAATAATGGACCGCTCGATTAAGACGTTGACCCAGTGTGCAGCCGCCACAAAGGATTTCCCTCTCGCAACTCCATGCATACGTTTCGTAGATGTCTTCCATGTCTCCTCTTTCTCGCCTTCTCTCTAAACTAAAAAGCCCCAAGCGACAACACTTTATTCCCATAAGGGAGTCACTCCGCACACATCCCTCAATCAGTTTGGTCGCCCTTTTCCAACGCTTTTCCATCTCCTTTTTGAGGGCAGGTGCCCAGAACTCCACACAGCGGCACAGCTCCGTCCTCAAGGATTTATAGCCAGCACTGAAGCTGGCTTGGCTTGCCTTTCCCTCACCTAAAAGCACCGCACCTGCTTAGCTTGCTTAATTTCCGCACCTAGATTTAGGTACCGAAGTTTCTGCTGCTGCTGCTGCTGCTGCTATTATTAAGCAGCTAGGCTTCTGAAACCTCAAGTGTGGGAAACCTTTGAGTGCCATCCATACTGAGTAACCCATTGCTTTGGCCTTTGTTGGGATCCAGCAGGTTAAAAATAAAAGCTGCCGTCAGGTTGGTCCAGATTTGGAGCTGAGCAGCTGAGAGGGTTGCATGTGAAACAAGAAACTTAGCAAGCTCTGCTCCAGCCAGGGGTGATTTCCCCCAGGCGAGGGCTTTGCAAGAACACTGGTCCTCCATTCCTGCATAACAAGAGCTGGCTTGTGTGCCTACCTGTATAGTCACCACAGGTGACACTTGGTTCAATGCAGGGGAGTGCGCTAGGATTCTGAGCAAGTTGAGTGAGCGAGCTAGAAACTTTGGTGGCCTTATTCGCAAGGATGTATTAATGAAGAACAGCTTGTGTCTGATTCAAATCTCACCTGAACCAAGAACTGTCCTAGCCAGTGGCATAGCGTTTTGTGTGTGGGTGTACGGGGCTGTGTGCTTCCATCACTGGGCTCCATTGAAAACAGCTGTGATAACCAGGAAGTGGCCTCTCCAGACAACGGAATAGCTCATTCTTATCTCTGTGGCTGCGATCTCCTGAAACACTCAAGGGAGTTGAATGCACATGCATGCTCCATCCATTTCCCTCCCTCCACACAGCCCCGTGCACTGGCAACCCACGCTACACCACTGGCCCTTTGTTGTGGTTGTTAGTCGTGTCCGACTCTTCGTGACCCCCTGGACCAGAGGACGCCAGGCACTCCTGTCTTCCACTGCCTCCCGCAGTTTGGTCAAACTCATGCTGGTAGCTTCGAGAACACTGTCCAACCATCTCGTCCTCTGTCGTCCCCTTCTTCTTGTGCCCTCCATCTTTCCCAACATCAGGGTCTTTTCCAGGGAGTCTTCTCTTCTCATGAGGTGGCCAAGTATTGGAGCCTCAGCTTCAGGATCTGTCCTTCCAGTGAGCATTCAGGGCTGATTTCCTTCAGAATGTATCCATTGATCTTCTTGCAGTCCATGGGACTCTCAAGAGTCTCCTCCAGCACCAGAATTCAAAACATCCATTCTTCGGCGATCAGCCTTCTTGATGGTCCAGCTCTCATTTCCATACATCACTACTGGGAAAACCATAGCTTTAACTATACGGACCTTTGTTGGCAAGGTGATGTCTCTGCTTTTTAAGATGCTGTCTAGGTTTTTCATTGATTTTCTCCCAAGAAGCAGGCGTCTTTTAATTTCGTGGCTGCTGTCACCATCTGCAGTGATCATGGAGCCCACTGACCCTAGCAAGCCTTAATTCAAATGTAATCACCCCCCCTCACCCCCCCCTGCCCCACTTTCCTGTCAGGAACAAAACAGAACTGGCACCTCCGGCTCGTGAACTCTGTTCAGAGCAGTGGTGCGACAGGCATTTCATCACCCCCCCCCCTTTGGAAAGGAATGGTAGAGTTGCGAAGAAAACTTCAGAAAGGGGCAACCCAAACCATTAAGGGAATGGAGCAACTCCCTGGCGCATGGGCCAGGAATCAGCTTTACCCGCTGAACAGCAGCCTGAAGAGAGCAGGAGGTTTACTGACCCCACCTGCTGCTGATCAGCCTTCAAGGACTCAGAGGAGAACCAGCTTGCTCCAGCCTTCTTAAGCGGGGCTTCCAGCCTCCTGTCAATTGCTGGAAACGTTTTGTCATTCCTGGTCCGACCTTTGCTGCTTTTCGGTTAGATTGTTGGATTCCCTGACCCCTGGACTGGCTGCCATACATCCAACCTTAGGACTGGACCAGACTTTGCTTATGGGCTCCGCTTCCAAGCAAGTACCCCTCTGAGACTGCTGGTTGGCTGGCCTCTCGCTCCTCTGGGCTCTATAAAAAGGTAAAGGGACCCCTGACCATTAGGTCCAGTCGTGGCCGACTCTGGGGTTGGGGCGCTCATCTCACTTTATTGGCCGAGGGAGCCGGCGTACAGCTTCCGGGCCATGTGGCCAGCATGACTAAGCCGCTTCTGGCGAACCAGAGCAGCGCACGGAAACGCCGTTTACCTTCCCGCTGGAGCAGTACCTATTTATCTACTTGCACTTTGACGTGCTTTCGAACTGCTAGGTTGGCAGGAGCAGGGACCGAGCAACGGGAGCTCACCCCGTCGCTGGGATTCGAACCACCGACCTTCTGATTGGCAAATCCTAGGCTCTGTGGTTTAACCCACAGCGCCACCCGCATCCCCTGGGCTCTATACAAGTTAGATCATTGCAATGCATTATACGCCTCAGAAGATGGTTTGGAAACTTGAGCTGGTGGAGCATTTTGGTGGCCCGGTTGCTCACTGGGGAGCAGCTGCAAGAAACAGCCGTGCAAGACTTTGGGAGGCAGAGATGCAAGAGGGCATCAGAGGAGGGAGAGAAGGAAAGAGGGACAGAGGCCAGTGTTGCCCATGGCACCCCTGACCATCATTCAAGTCATCCCAGGGTGCAACGGCACACCTGAAAACCACTGGCTTAACCTATGAAACCTTCTTAGGCAGACTTAAGGCCCATTCACACCTCGTTTTAATATAGATCCTTTAATCTCGTGGTAAAAGCAGAGACATCACCTTGCCAACAAAGGTCCGTACAGTTAAAGCCATGGTTTTCCCAGTAGTGATGTATGGAAGTGAGAGCTGGACCATAAAGAAGGCTGATCGCCGAAGAATTGATTCTTTTGAATAATGGTGCTGGAGGAGACTCTGGAGAGTCCCATGGACTGCAAGAAGATCAAACCTCTCCATTCTGAAGGAAATCGGCCCTGAGTGCTCACTGGAAGGACAGATCCTGAAGCTGAGGCTCCAATTCTTTGGTCACCTCATGAGAAGAGAAGACTCCCTGGAAAAGACCCTGATGTTGGGAAAGATTGAGGGCACAAGGGGAAGGGGACGACGGAGGACGAGATGGTGGGACAGTGTTCTCGAAGGTGCCAACATGAGTTTGACTAAACTGCGGGAGGCAGTGGAAGACAGGAGTGCCTGGCGTGCTCTGGTCCAGTGGGTCCCGAAGAGTTGGACACGACTAAACAAACAAACAACAACAACAACAACAATCTCATGGTTCCAAAATGTTTTTTCCCAGGCCACTCCCTGCCTCCTCGGTCCCCCAGTGCTCCCTACCACACTAAAACCAGTGGTTTGCACGACCCGCTGAGGGAGATAATAGCACGATAAAATTCAAAACCACGACAATTAATTACACATTCAGTCAAAATCCAGTTGAAACTATTGAGTTTAATTCAGAGAGACTTGTGAACTTGATCCAGCGATACCAGCTTTTTGAAGTCCGATATTCATTTGCACCTCCAGCACCCCCAGCTCCCCCCTCACCTATTAGCGCCCCTGGGTCATCCCACCCACCCTAGGGGTGGTAGCACCCATTGCTTTAATCTAACATATTTTAATTACCCCTTCGTCTATACAATGTTCGCTGCAAGCAGCTGCTGTCCCAAACTTTCACCCTGCTAAATCATGAGTTTCCCTGTCCTCAGAAAATCCGAAAAGTGTACCTGCTCTGCTTTAAAAGCTCTTCTGTCCCCAACTCTTGGCATGAAGCGTTGATAACCTTACTACCAAAACAAGGAATGGACCCAAATAATATAAAGAATTACAGACCAGTTTCATTATTGAATATTGATTAGAAAATCTCAAATAGATTGGAAAATGCTTGACCAGAATAATAGGTAAGGATCAGAATGGCTTTTTACCAGGGAGACAGATAAAAAATAATACAAGAGTAGTGATTGATTTTCTAGAATTTATTGATATGGAACCTAGTAAGAAGGTGGCATTGTCACTGGTGGATGCGGAGAAGGCCTTCGACAGTGTGGCCTGGAACTTTCTGGTTCACACTGTGGAAAGTGTGAAACTTGGGAACAAAATTTTGAATGGTATTAAAGAGATTTATGAAAACCAGAAAGCTAAGTTAATAATTAACAGTGAAATAACTGAAGAATTCCAAATTGAAAGAGGCACCAGACAAGGATGTCCTTTATCCCCACTTTTGTTCATTGTGACGCTAGAAACACTCCTAATAGCAATAAGAAAGGACCCAAAAATTAAGGGGATTAGTCTGGGTAAGTTAAAGCATTTATGGACAATGTAATTATTACTTCAGAAAATCCAGAAGAAAGTATACAAGAAGCCCTAAAGAAATTGACTGAGTACGGAGCAGTATCGGGCTTCAAGTTAAATAAAGAAAAATCTAAATTATTAACGAAAAATATGGGGGTAAAAGAACAGGAAGAATTGGAAAGGGTAACCGGCCTTAAAATCACCACGAAAGCTAAGTATTTGGGGATCTGGATTACAAATAAAAATACCAATTTGTACAAGGATAATTATGTGAAGAAGTGGAAGGAAATAAAAGGATATTTAAATAAATGGAATAAACTGAACTTGTCTTTATGGGGTAGGATATCCTTGATAAAAATGTCAATTCTTCTAAAAATGCTCTTTCTTTTCCAGACGATCCCAATAATTATTGGGACAAAATGTTTTAAAGGCTGGCAAAGGGTTCTTTCTAATTTTATTTGGCAGGGTAAGAAGCCAAGAGTAAGGTTCAAAGTATTGATGGAGCCCAAAGAAAAGGGCGGGTTTGTGGTCCCAGACCTCAAGCTGTATTTTGAGGCCACATGCATGACGTGGCTGAAAGATTGGATGTTACTGACAGCTACAGAAATCCTAGACCTGGAGGGCTGGGACAAAGTTTTCGGGTGGCATGGCTACCTGGGTCACGATAAAATAAAAGCACATAGAGGCTTCACTAATCATTTGGTGAAAAGGCCCTATTCAAAGTTTGGGAAAGAAATAAAACAATAGTAACAGCCAAAACTCCCTGGTGGCTATTGCGTATAGAGTCATCAGCCATGCATAGAAATAATATGAAAGACAGTTGACTAACATATAGGGAACTTGTAGAAGAAATAAAGGATTGCCCAACAGTAAAGACAGGGGTAAAGTGACCCCTTACCATTAGGTCTAGTCACGGACGACTCTGGGGTTGTGGCGCTCATCTTGCTTTATTGGCCGGGTACAGCTTCTGGGTCATGTGGCCAGCATGACTAAGCCACTTCTGGCGAACCAGAGCAGCGCACGGAAACACCATTTACCTTCCCGCCGGAGCGGTACCCATTTATCTACTTGCACTTTGACGTGCTTTCGAAGTGCTAGGTTGGCAGGAGCAGGGACTGAGCAACGGGAGCTCACCCCGTCGCGGGGATTCGAACCGCTGACCTTCTGATCGGCAAGTCCTAGGCTTTGTGGTTTAACCCACAGCGCCACCCACGTCCCAAAAATATATAAATTGTTACAAAATTGGAAAATAGAAAAGGTGGGAAAAGGTGACACTATTAAAAAATGGGAACAAGATCTGGGCCGCTCAACTGATTATAATGAATGAGAAAGACTGTGGACAAAAAATATAAATTTCACAGCATGTTACCGAATAAGAGAGAATTATATGAAAATGCATCATAGGTGGTCCCTGTTACCAGAAAGGCTGGCAAAAATGGATAAAACATATAATAATTAGTGCTGGAGGAAGGAATCTTCTACCATATGTGGTGGACATGCCCCGAAATTGGGTAATTTTGGGGCATGATCCACGAAGAAATAAAGAAAATACTAAGAATATCATACAGTAAAAGGCCAGAGGCATTCCTTTTAGGAATTTTAAACGACCATATTCCAAAAGACAAAACTAAATTTTTCTTATACGCAACGCCTGCAGCAAGAATCCTGGTGGCTAAATACTGGAAAGGAAATCAGTTACCCACTAGGGGAGAATGGTTATGTAAGCTTTCAGAATATTTAGAATTAGCCAAATTGACATTTATAATAAGACAAAGACCAAAAAGTGAAGTGAAAAAGGAATGGGAGTGCCTAAATGAATACCTTAAAAGCCAAGGTTCGAGGACAGAAATCTGGCTGAGTCTGGAATAACCTTGTGAAGTGAAAGGATAAGAAAGAGGGATTTATATCAGAGATGATAAGGAAAACAGGAAGATACAATGAGAGGTAAAAGAGGCGCCGTGGGATTGGTGGAAGTCAATGTTTGTTTTCCTTTTTAGTGTTTATATTATTAATTTGTAAGATTTGGATTTGTTTTGTAAAATGCTTGTTTTTGTGTATTTTTTTCGGGAGGGTTTTTTTGTTGTTGTGTGGAAAATACTAATAAAATTTACTTTTTTTAAAGCTCTTCTGTCAGCTTTACGTGGATGAAACCTTTGTCCATTTTTTGTTTTCGATGGGAGTGTTTTTGTGTGGAGCAGCTTCCAGAGAGGCAGGGTGGCCTGAATCAGCAAATCGTGGAAAACAGGGGAAATGGGCAGGAAAATTCCGGGTTAAAATCACGTCCAAAAAGAAGCCAGGGAACAAATTGATTAGGCCAAAAGTGCCCTAAGAAGAAAGCAGCAGAACGAATAGAGACAGAGTGGAATGTGAACAGTTTAATTTATTTTCCCCCCAACTATTATGGTCTTTAAGGTTGACATTATTTATTGTCAGTTAGCTCTTATTTAGCTTTGCTTATATGTACTTAAACCTAGATTGCTGCGTGTTTTGTTTTCTTGTTTTTGGTAATGTTGAATTCATTCTGTGTTTGTTAAATTGTGTTCTGTCAGTTTTGACATGCTCTGTATTTCATATACAGTTGTACCTTGGAAGTCGAACGGAATCTGTTCCAGAAGTCCGTTCAACTTCCAAAACGTTCAGAAACCAAGGTGCAGCTTCAGATTGGAAGCTCCTGTAGCCAATCGGAACCCGCGGAACCTGCGTCAGACGTCCAGGTTCCAAAGAACGTTCGCAAACTGGAACACTCACTCCCAGGTGTGCAGCGTTCAGGAGCCAAAACGTTCAAGTTGCAAGGTGTTTGACTTCTGAGGTACGACTGTATTAGCATTCTGATGTATATAATTTATGAAATAAATTTCGTTGTCGAGAAGCAGCATGCAAGTCAACTCAAATCAGGCAACCGGAGAGAAATTGTTCTGAGTTCTACTCCAAAACGAACTGGATTCTCATTCGCTTCCCCTGAGAGTTACGCGAACTGCTTCTGGGTGTTGTTCAGACATTTCTGATCCGATTTGACAAACTTCGTTAAACCAAACCAACTCGTTCCAGGAGGGCTCCCTTTTCCTGCTGCCTCTCCAGATCTTCTGGCGCCCATTTTGGGTCGAGGAGGAGCAGAACAGAGTTTCTACATGTGGCCGTGCCCCTGATCACAACGCCACAAAGAGATGGAGGCACTTTGAGCTTCAGCCTCCAGGTCTCTCTCTCCCGTCCAAACCACCTTCTTCCTCTTCTGCCGCCGCACCTGCCCTCTCCACCTGCATTTGGTTATAGTCTCCAATCTGGACCATTTGGGCATTCTGGATTATGAGGTGCGACGGAGGCGCCCCAGACATGAGCCCCGGGGAACCCCGTGAGAACACATATGGATGGGAAAGTTGATCAGGCCCCAGCTGAGGTTGAGGCATTTCAGGGTAGAAAAATGGCTGGTCAGGTGGGGTCTGCAGCCCCAGAAAGCCCCTCTGCGAGGGCATCAGAACTTGCGAACTGACCCTGAGGCCAGACAGGCGCTGCAGGGCCTGCTGGTACTCACTCTGCTGCTCCTGCAAGCGCTCCTGGTTCCGGATTTGCCTCGAGATATTCCACAGGGCCCTCTTCTCCCGGATCACCGCTGGGGAGAACGTTTTCTTGACCCGCCTGGCAAAGACGGGCGAGGTCTCATCCAGCGGCACGATTGCCGCGAGCAGGAAAGGCATCTCTCGCCTCTTCACGGGGCTCTCTTTGGCAATGAAGGGCACCACCGAGTTGGTCTTGCAGAAGCGCTGGAAGGAGTCCATCAAGGCCACGTTTGCCTGGAAGGCGCAGAAGCGGCTCTTGAAGTTCTCTGTCAGGAGGAGGAGGGTGAAGGCCGAGTTATCCAGGGCATCCTGGAAGCAGCTGAGCTGGCAGTGCCCAGGGACAAGGAAGTCCTCGCTGACCGTCGCCCCGTCGGCAACGCCCAGGGCCTCCAGCCGCTCCCTCACCCGGCAGGCGACTGTCTCGTCTTCAGGGGCATGGACCACAACGAAAGTGAAGAAGGGTTGCTCCTCAGCCGGCAGATCTGTCAAGGGAGGTCCTGATGAATGAGGAGGAGGAGAACCAGAGCTTGAAGAGGACCCAGTCTCCAAGCTCGGCTTCAGGGAGGAGGAATCTTCCACGGTTCTTGGAACAAACAGTGCAGAAGGTGCTAAACCAGGCAGAGGTGTGGATGGCGCTTGTGAGTTCTGGAGTGGACATCCTGCACAACCCTGCGGTTCCGAGGCCACCAGACTTCGGGGTTCCCTGTTTTCTCCATCTTCCAGCGGCTGCGTAATTTTAGGGGGAGGCTGAACTGACAAGCAAGAATGGTTGCCTCCAGGATCACTGGTTTGCCTGGTTTCCTCTTGGCCTTGCACGACGGGCTCCGCTGGTCTCCCAGAGCAAGAATTGGCTGGAGACTCGGCAGTGGCTCCCGCTTCTCCAGGCTGCACCAGGGAGTTGGGGCCACTTCCACACAGCTTGCTGGGCTCGGGGACGCCATGCTGAACGGAATGGGTGAGGAACAGCAAGGTTGGAGACTGGCTGATCTCCAGGTGGCTGAGCAGCGAGGCCGGGCTGCCTGTGGAGCACAGAGGCTGGATTTCGGAGGGAGCCCAGGAACTCAAAACTGGCATGGGGGAGCTCTTTGCTGCTGTGGAGGAAGGCCTCCCCCCATCGCATCCTGGAGCGCTGAAGCTGTTGCTTGCCACCGCAGGCACAAAATCCAGCCCACACTTTTGCTCAGCTTCGCTCAAGAGGCTCTCAAAAGCAGACCTTGGGACATCACTCTCAAGGAAAGCCTTGATGGCGATACGGTAAGCCTCGTCTCTGGCCAGGGGCCCACAGAGCTTTTCCTCTACTAACAACGAATAGATCTGGGCCACAGCCAGCGCCACTCCTGCATCCTGGTTTGAAGGGGCTGGATCGGCCCTGCTTGCTGCAGCGCTCCGCTGGTGGCTCTTGTAGATGTCTGCCACCGCAGCGCAATTCCCCAACGCTTCCAGGCTCAGTCTGGCCTCCGTCTCTCTGCCCAGGGTCAAGAGGATCATGGCCTGAAGGAGCCTGCAACTCTTCCCGCCTTGCCGCCTGCAGCCCAGCTTGTGTTTGTACTGGACCAGCCTGTTTCCCGGGATTGCGGCCAAGACCCTGAAGATGCCCTCCATGCTCAGAGATGCTGTACCGTCCTCTGCCGCCTTGGCGAGTGGTCTGGAGAGGCCAGCGCCCCAGTTGGAAGAGCATCTTGGGGCCTGGAGGGGTGGAAGCTTGGCAGCAGAGGGAGGTTCTCCACCATGCCGGCAGGCCATCAGCCTCTTCCCAGGGAGATTTTGTCCACCACCTCTTACTCTTCACCAAAACGTTCAAGAAAGAGGAGATGTCATCAGCCCGCCATCTTTGCCCTCTGGGTTTTTTCGGTTTGGTGTTTTGTCTTCTGTGCAAACCTGCAATGTAAAAGGTGGGAGGAGATATTGGGAACATCTCTGGGTCTTGGCAAGCCTCATTTATGCCCCGGATTAATTGCTTAGAAAACAATCAGCGGCTCCCAAACCTTTGGTCCTTATGAACCAACCGAGAATTGGCCTTGTTTTATATGTGCTTCTTGTTCTTGCGTTTTTAACTGCTTTTTAAATTATCTTTCAAATGGCCTTGAGAAGGCTTAGAAGGAAATTAATAAATAAGTTACATAAATGAATTCATTTAAAAAAAACGTTAAGGGGAAAATTAAATTAATGTAGCCCTCCGGATTTTGATCAACTGGGAAGATTAAAACATAAATAACACTCTTTGTGGATGGATTTCAAGGCAATTCTAAGAATCGGCTTTCTGAATATTGTTTGACTGACTCTGTTTCAAATATCTTTAAGTTAAGCTAACAGCATCCAGAACTGGTCACTGTTATGGGTGCCGGCAGGAAACAGGGTATTCAAGTGAGGGGCATATATAAACTTTGATTATTATTATTTTTACAAGATTTAGCTGGAAATGCTGGAGGAGGCAGGGGGTGGGTTCCCCACCCCCCAAAAAAACAGGCAACACACAGACACTACCACTGATCTATAGCCCCTCACCCAATCCAAATGCACGAAGCTGTTTTCAGACCAAGTCAGACCACTGGTCCTATTATTATTATTATTATTATTGTTATTATTATTATTATTATTATTTATATCCCGCCCTCCCCAGCCAAAGCCGGGCTCATGGCAGCTAACAACAATAAAATAATACAACATTCTAAAATCATTTCATTATAAAATTAATTCAAATCAAATTGATGGCAACCATTGGGCTAGAGCTCTGTGATTGCCAAAGGAGGGAGTCAGGCTGCGCCCTGGCCAAAGGCCTGGTGGAACAGCTCTGTCTTGCAGGCCCTGTGGAAAGATGTCAAGTCCCGCAGGGCCCAAATTTCTTGTGGCAGAGCGTTCCACCAGATCGGGGCCACAGCCGAAAAGGCCCTGGCTCTGGTTGAGGCCAGCCTAACCTCCCTGTGGCCCGGGACCTCCAAGATGTTTTTGTTTGAGGATCGTAAGTTCCTCTGTGGGGCATACCAGGAGAGGCGGTCCTGTAGGTCCGAGGGTCCTAGGCCGTATAGGGCTTTAAAGGTTAAAACCAGCACCTTGAACCTGATCCTGTACTCCACCGGGAGCCAGTGCAGTTGGTAAAGCACTGGGTGAATGTGATCTCACAGTGAGGACCCTGTAAGGAGTCTCGCCGCGGCATTCTGCACCCGCTGGAGTTTCTGGGTCAGTCTCAAGGGCAGCCCCACGTAGAGTGAGTTACAATAATCCAGTCTGGAGGTGACCGTCACGTGGATCACAGTGGCTAGGTCAGGGCTCTGACCGGCAGCACCTCTTCAAGATCTTGAGCAGAACCGTGCCTCCCCCACCACAAAACCCTTTTTTTTATGTGGGATAGGGAACTTGCCACGTTTGAGACGTCTGCTGCCTTGAGGTCTCACCTTAAAGGTGACTCATATGCTGGGAACCCTCAAGGTTCAGTTATGGCCTCGCTCTCTCCTTCCCTCTCGCCGCAAGCAGCTCGGCCGATGTTCGCGCCAGACCCAACACTTCCAGCTCGAAAAAGATTGGCAACCCTCCGCTAAACTGACAGGCAGGGGCTTGTCAGATTCCCAGGGGAAGGATCGTTTGCAGGCTTTGCTGCTTAACTACAGCAATTTGCTAAAAACACAATAAGTTTCCAGTCCTCATGGGGTCTGCATAAAAGGCCTGATTTCAAATAGGAGCGTCTGAAATGGCCTTATGCTCTGTTGCAGCTGCACCTAGCTCAACCTTTGCTAACCTGGCATATTTGGGACTCGGCACCGATTGGATCCAGGCAGACGCACTGGGCTTGGGGGCAGCTCAAGGGTGCCAGGCTGATTCAGCTCAACCTCAGCACTATTGCAAAAAAACCCAACTCTTTAGGATTCAGCCATTCAGTCCTGTTAAAGGGGCTGCCCTTTTGCATCCATCCCAGGTGTCCTGCTGCTGAAAACAAGCCTCTTGTTCCACCCGTCTGTCTCAAGTCGTGGCTCGTCGTGGGGCCTGGCTTGGGAAAGAGGCCAGAATCTTTTAACTCCCCTGGCAGAACGAATAAAATTCCTCTTTGGCGAGAACTACGTAGGTTGACCTACCTGGCACAGAGCTGCAAAAAGGCTGGATTTTCCTTGCAATCTTGGTTCGCAAGCCCCCTTGAAAAGTTTTGGCCCTGGAGGAGGAACTGAGAGGCGGAAGCTGATCGGTCAGACACCCTCCTCCCCGTTTCCTCTCCCTGGCGGGGAGTCAGAGCGCAAGGCTGTCTTTCTTCCTCAAAGCACAACTCTTAACTTTCGGTTTCCAGGGCTAAAGTAGTGCAACGTTTTGCTGAACTTCTGATTGGCTGCTTTGCTGGGTCAGGCTGCCAGTCGCACAAAAACCACACCTGCTCTCTGCATCTTAGGGCTGCAGTCCTCATCCCCCTGGGAGCAAAACCCCACTGACCTCAGCTGCAAGAAATTCTAAATGTTTATATATTTAAATGGAGCAAGGCTTTGTACATGTGATTTGCCGCTGCTGTTCTTCTGGAAGGATGACAAGGAGGACTTGATAGTGTCCCTATCAAGGGAAGTCACGGTACCGCTCTATTCTGCCTTGGTCAGGCCCTACCTGGAGTCCTGTGTCCAGTTCTGGGCACCACAATTTAAGAAAGCTGGAACATGTGCAGAGGAGGGTGAAGGAGATGTTCAGGGGTCTGGAAACCAAGCCTGATGAGGAACGGTTGAAGGAGCTGGGTATGTTTAGCCTGGGAAAGTGGAGGTTGAGAGGAGATATGAAAGCCACCTTCAAAAGGGCTGTCACATGGAAGATGGAGAAAACTTGTTTTCTCCTGTTCTGGAGGGTAGGACTCGAACCCATGGCTTCAAGTTACAAGAGAGGAGATTCTGACTAAACATGAGGAAAAACTTTCTGACAGAAAGAGCCATTTGAAAGTGGAATAGACTCCCTTGGGAGGCTTGGAGGTTTTTAAGCAGAGGTTGGACGGCCACCTGTCAAGGATGCTTTAGCTGAGATTCCTGCATTGCAGGGGGTTGGACTAGATGACCCTCAGGGGTCCCTTCCAGCTCTATGATTCTATTGACTGAAGGCTGCATCAAGACCATTGGAAGTGTGCTGTAACAAATCTCTATTTTTTTATTATTCCTTTAGTAGATTTATATCCTAGCTTTTCCACCCAAAGGAACCCGGGGAGGCAAATAGGATAATAAAATGGATGTATCTATAATAGTGATGAAAAAGAAATAAAATGGACAGAATAAGAAATATTGTGGAAGGCTGGTATGTATTATAGAAAGAAAAACAAAAGATACAGTCTGAGAGAAGATTGAGAAGATTCTTGCATGGAGGGGTTGGACTAGATGACTCTTGGGGTCCCCACCCCTACTATTCTATGTCTGTTTTGGCCCCAGTGACACATGTCTGAGTTACACCCCATTTGGACTACTGCAACACTCTCTGCGTGGGGCTGCCCTCGAACAGTGCTCAGAAACGTCAACTGGCGCAAAGAGTTTGCCGCCTGATTACAGGGAACAGACGACTCCCTTGATGCAACACCTCCACTGGCTACCGATCTGTTTCGGGGCCTCAGTTAAAAGTGCTGGTTATGCCCCATAAATCCCTACAAGGCTTAGGTCTCTAGGCTGTTCCCTCATGCAAAGCTGCCCAGGCTCTGTGATCTTCGGGGAAGGCCTTTTTCGCAGACCTGCTTGGCGGGGACATGAGACAGGGCCTTCTTGGTGGTGGCTCCTCCCAGGCAAGTTTGGAACTCCATCCCTGGAGAAGCCTGACTGGCCCCTCTCTGCTGCCTCCTTCCACCGGCAGGTGATGCCTTCTTCTGGTAACTGACTAGTGCCATGCTGTATTGGGGTTTTTTAATTATCTGTGTTTTTACTAGATCATCTGTAGATATTGTTTTAATTCTATCAATGTTCACTTCTTTTTTTTTTAGTGATTGTTCCCCGCCCCATGTACTGGTGTTTGTTTTTTGGGGTTTTAAAAATTTTACTCTGGTTTTTTATAATTGCTTTTAATGTTTGCATCACTTTGTAAGTCACTTCAAATTGCACCTCGTGGAGAAAAGCAAATAATAAATAGACAATTCCTTCTCCCCCCAGGCTTCTAAGCAAGACACGCTTTCCTAGTCACCTATGGTGAAAAGAGTAATTTCCAGGCAAACAAAGAGGGGAGCTTTTTTTAAAAAAAGTTGGCTCCTTTTATTTTCAGGCCACTAGTGACTCCCAGAAGCACGTGTAGGCAGTTAGGCTAGCAGATTATTTTTGCCAGCTAAAAAATTCCATGAAGTTATTAGCAACATCCTTGCTGCTTAGGCTGCTTGCATATTGTGTTTCAAAGCAGCAGAAACCAACTGAAGTGCTCTTGAGGAACTCGGATTCTGTACTCAGAAAAGACAGGAGTCTGCTATCAGCATAAACTGTGCAAAAGGACATTTTATTCCCCCCCCCCAGAGGGTAAGGCAGGCAAGAGCTACACAAAACGGCTGCACAAAGTAATGGAAGTACAACTTAAGACACACACCGAACACCACCTTTGAAACCCACCATGTTCACAAAGCCTTGTAAACGTCTACCTTCATTCCTCAATCCTCCTCTGTTGCTTCTCTTCCAAGCTCATCTCTGCAACAGTGAGGAATAACCACTCCGTTTTGAACGGAGGGTGAACACCTGAGATTTTAACCCCCCTGCCTGTGTGCCACAATGATGGGTGGGTGTCTAAACACAGACCCACCTATGCAGCTATCTATAGAGAATTGGTGAGGGTGAGAATTATGAGACTTCAGCTCCCATCAAGGGCGATGGAAGCCATCCATCCAGCAGGTCCCAGGACTCCCCATCGTAGCACATAAATCAGCCAGCCCGATCCATGCAAGATGCAGCTTGCTCTCACTTAACACAAGCCCCCGATAACTGGCGCATTCCCCCAAACCGCCACCAAATGAAAAACAGGCACATTTCAGCCTTCGCACCCTAGACGTGAAATGACCCACGCTTCGAGAGGCGGCTGTCCCGGCGGATCTGCATCTGGAGCATGAACTCACGCAGAGACGCAGAGGGCACCCTCCCCTCCGAACTGGTCCTTCCGGCTCCCTGCTTTTGATTCCCTTTAACGGATTGGCTTCTTGCAGTGTGTTTATGCAGTGGGTGCAAAATGGCAAAGGCTGAACCATTGGTTTTGGGGGGGTGGGTGCTGGAATAGCCCCCGACTCTTATGCCTGCTTCTCAGCAGCACCGGAGAGCTGATTCAGAGTGCTCTTGCTAGGCTTCTTCTTCATCTCCTCTCCCTCGTTCATCTCTTTCTTTGCTTTCCTGACCACACCAGACTCCGGACTTCCTTCCCCCTCGCTTTCTGCCTTTTTCTTTGCTGATTTGACTGCGACCTTCGCCGGTTTGGATACCGTCTCCCTCTCCTCTAGGGCCTCGCCCTCATCCATGGGCTCCTCCGGGGCCAAACTTTCCATCTCCTGGCTCTCCGTCTCCATCTCGGCGCCTGCCGACGGCCGGAAGGGCCCCACGATCCAGTTCAAGGGCGTATTTTGGACGATGTGGTCCACCAGCGTCTCCAGGGTCTCTTGCGCCTGGGCGATTTTGTCCCGGCTCTGGGCCAGGAGGCTGGAGGACAAGTCCTGGAAGGACGAGACCGAGGCGAAAGAAGAGTGAAGCTGGCGGACGTTGCCGCGGGCTTGGGCCACCCTCTCGCGGAGGTTGCTGGGCAGGCCTTCGACGGTGGATGCCAAGTGAGCGTAGACCGGCCCAAGGTCCTGGGTGACAAAGCGAAGCATAGCCAGGGTACCTGATTCAACCTGCCAGGGCAAAACAACACAATCACAGAGGGGAGGTTGCTAAAAGAGCCCTTTGCTGTTTGCATCATGGGGGAGTGGCTTAAAGAGCCCTTTGCTGTTCGCACCATGGGGGAGTGGCTTAAAGAGCCCCTTGCTGTTCGCACCATGGGGGAGTGGCTTAAAGAGCCCGTTGCTGTTCGCATCGTGGGGGAGTGGCTTAAAGAGCCTCTTGCTGTTCACACCATGGGGAGTGGCTTAAAGAGCCCTTTGCTGTTCGCACCATGGGGGAGTGGCTTAAAGAGCCCCTTGCTGTTCGCACCATGGGAGAGTGGCTTAAAGAGCCCTTTGCTGTTCGCATCGTGGGGGAGTGGCTTAAAGAGCCTCTTGCTGCTCACACCATGGGGGAGTGGCTTAAAGAGCCCTTTGCTGTTCGCATCATGGGGGAGTGGCTTAAAGAGCCTCTTGCTGTTCACAACATGGGGGAGTGGCTTACAGAGCCCTTTGCTGTTCGTGCAATTCAAATACAGTGGAGCCTCGCAAGACGAAATTAATCCGTTCCGCGAGTGTCTTCGTCTAGCGGTTTTTTCGTCTTGCGAAGCAACCCTATTAGCGGCTTAACGGATTAGCGCTATTAGCAGTTTAGCGACTATTAAAGGCTTATCGGCTTAGCGGATTAGCTGCTAAAAGGCTATTAAAGGCTTAGTGGCTTAGATAAAGGGGGGGGAGCGGAAAAAAAATCTCAAGACTCGCAAGACATTTTCGTCTTGCGAAGCAAGCCCATAGGGAAATTCGTCCTGCGAAGCAACTCAAAAAACGGAAAACCCTTTCGTCTAGCGGGTTTTCCGTCTTGCGAGGCATTCGTCTTGCGGGGCACCACTGTATAAGGTTATATCCAACTGCATACTACTTAGAGTAGACCCGCTGCAGTTGATGAGCGCGATTAACTTGTAGTTCCCCTCAATTTAAAAAAAACAACAGCAGCTTTTGAAGCGTCTTCTTTGTCACTGCTGCGATACAGAGACGAGAGGTACCTCTGGCTGTGGGCCTCCGGCCGCGGCCTGCCTCTCCTCCGGCTGTGCCTGCGTCCACTCGAGCAAGACCTGGCTCAGCTTCTCCTGAGCCTCTTGGAGCCGCTTCCCTATGCCTTGCTGCGCGGCTTCAACCTGCGGAGGCAAGTGGGGCGCAAGAAGTCAGAATGGGAGGACGTGGAGGGGGGGGTCAAGGGATGCTGACAACGGAAGATATTAACTTTTGTATTTTTACACTGCTTCTCTCTCTAAGTGTGAGATAAAACCAGATTATGAAACCATGCAAAAACATGGAGGGGAGCTAAAATGGATGTCAACAATAAAAGCGGAAACTTTTAATGCAATGTGTGTCAGAAACTGCGCAGCGACAGTGGGCGGCCCCATTAGCTAAAGTGGTGCCTCAGGTTAAGAACAGTTTCAGGTTAAGAACGGATCTCCGGAACGAATTAGGTTCTTCACCCGAAGTACCACTGTATCTAGTTTTGAAATTGTTTTGTGGGTCTTTGGACCGCAATAAGGTATTGATGGATGTAGTGTTGTGGAAGAGGGAGAAAACGGAGAACGGCGGTACAATGGCGTGAAGGCCGTTGGGTCGTGTCTGCTATGTACTCACCAGGCTGATCACCAGCTGCAGCTGAGAAAGCGTATCCTGAGTGTTCTCCCTGACGAGACGCAGCTTGTCCAGGGAATGCAGGTAAGCGCGACGGCGGACTTTGCTCGAGAGCGACCCCAGGCGGACGAAGTAACTCTGCTGCTTCCTCTGCTCTTCCAAGGCCTCTCCAAAACCTCGGACCTCCGTGGCCAGCTTGGCTGCGACAAATACGAACAGATAGACATCAGCATGGTGGGAAAGATGGGCAAATCTGGAAGGCTGGGGGGCTTCATCCCCCCAAAAATATTATTTGTACATTGCAGGGGGGTTGGACCGGATGAATCCTGGGGCCCTTCCAACTCCACAATTCTATGTTCTGCAGAACTTGGGGGTCCCCCTCAAGTCTGCTAATACCCATCCTTTTGTGTGTGTGAGAGGTACCATTTTGGCTCCATAAGCAACTGCTGTGTAGAAACATTACTGCAGTTGTGGAACCAGAGTACAGCCATCATGACTCGTTTTGGCCACTTCTCATTCTCCATGACTTTGTTTGCGAGCCCAGGCGCTAAACCCTGTCCCTGGAGCCTACCCCACCGCCAAGAGAAGAGACATGACAACAATGTATGTGTTTAAATTCGGCCATAACTTTATTTAATTTCAGGTGTAGGAAGCTTGGCTTAGGCCTTGGAAGGTATCCCTCTCATACCTGACAGGGGCTGAGGGTACGCAGGGCAATCAGGTGTTGTGGGAGGGGACTGTAAAGTGTTGACTTACCCAGCGTGCCGTCCCACTTCACCTAGCCGGGAGTTTGACCTATGTGCCGCCACTGTAGGGCTCCCGCAATCAACCCTTTAACGGGCCCTGCAAACGCCGCCACATGGGGGTGCATCAATATGCTGCCCCCAACTCACAGGTAAGACTATAGAATACCGGCCAAGGCCTAAAACCACCATTCCAAGGGCTAAATAATTAAAGAAACCCCTCCAGTCAACTGCCACCTTTAGTGACATCGATAAAATCAATTACCTGTTGTAAACCAAGAAATCTTTAATTAAAAAATATGTAAAATTAAAAAAATCAATTACTTGCTGTCTAGCTCAAACAAACCTTTTATGTTCAACACAGCGAAGTTTGCACTAAAAGCCTCTCAACTCAGGAAAGCCCTAGAGTCTTGTTCCCTGACTTTTCCACCATTGGTGAAGTGTTTTATAATGTTTTAATCATACAGTGGTGCCCCGCAAGACGAATGCCTCGCAAGACGGAAAACTCGCTAGACGAAAGAGTTTTCCGTTTTGGAGGTGCTTCGCAAAACGAATCTCCTATGGGCTTGCTTCGCAAGACGAAAATGTCTTGCGAGTTCCTGCAGGTTTTTTTCCCTCCCCCCCCCTTTTTCTAAGCCGCTAAGCCGCTTATCCGCTTATCCACTAAGCCGATAAGCCGCTAAAAGCCGCTAAAAGCCGCTAATAGCGCTAATAGCGCTAATCCGCTAATCCGTCAATGGGCTTGCTTCGCAAGACAAGAAAACCGCTAGACGAAGAGACTCACAGAACGGATTCTTTTCATCTTGCGAGGCACCACTGTATGTGCTTTAATATGTATTTGAGACCTGCTTGGCTTTGTTTTGTTTGTTCATGGCTATAACCTATATTTGGCTGAGCAATAAAACCTGGCGATGGCTTGGGCTATGCTCACACCATACATCTAAAGCACGAGGAGATCACATGGCTAACTCCACTGAATTATGGGAGGTGTAGTTTGTCAAGGTGCTGAGAGCTGTTGGAAGCCCCCATGATCCTGACCAAACTACAGTTCCCAAAGTGTCAGCCAATTCTGCAGAGCACCCAAAGCCCATTCTCACCTAGCTCCTCATCAGTCATGGGCAGGTAGTAGTCCACCATATCCTCTGTCTTCCCCAACATGACGTCCACACCGCTGCTCAGTGCCTGCTTCAAGAGGCTGGTCATCTCAATGCCTTCCTGGACAGGCCCGCAGGTCATGACTTGGCCAGCCACAAGTTCCCTCGTCTCTTGGGCAGCTTGGAGGGCGGTATTGACCACCGACTTGGTCAAGTCCACGCTGTCCTGGGCCGTCTCCTTGCCCAGGTTGACGACGTCGGCCACCCTATGAGTGACGAGCTCCTTCGCCTCGTTCGCGGCGTTCACTGCGGTGTTGACGGTGGAGCTCACCACCGATTTGGTCAAGTTGACACTGTCCTGGACAATGTCCTTGGTGAGATCGACAGCTTCAGATACTCTGTTCGACCAGAGTTGCTTGGCCCCAGAAGCAGCATCCTTGGCTACATTGACCGTGGAACAGATGACCGTTTTGGTTATGGTGACACCGTCTTCAATCACCTAGAAATGAAAGGAGGCAGACCAAAGGTCAACTCACTATTACTATTACTATTACTATTACTATTACTACTACTACAACAACATTTATACCCCACCTTTCCTTAGAGGAGCCCAAGGTACTGTCACGGACTTGTTGGATGCAAAGAAATGGTAGGAGGAACCAGCTGGGGAACCCTCAAGAGAAGAAGGCTCAGAGCCCAGGGAGTGGTGGTGGGACAACAATGAGTGGCCAGAGGGGGAAGACTGGGAGGAAATGTGTCAGAAGTGGAAGAGGCAACAGGGCTTAGTGAGCAAGGGAGTGCAGAATCAGTGGCAGAAGCTGAACCAGCAGAGGAGAAATACTTCAGCTGGTGAAGAGGCATGGGTGTCTCCCTGTCCTGCTGCGACAAGCTCCCCTTCCCTCTGGTCTCCCAGCACCAGGAGAGGCATGAAGAGGGCAGGGGAGAAATTAGTTTCATGCAGGCACAGTCTCAGATTGCATGGGGGGAAACCCTGCAGAGGAAGGGACTTCCAGTCTCAGCAACTGCTTCATGGGGGCAATATTTGCCAGAGATGGGTCTCTGTGCTCATTAGGCCTGACACTCCTGTGCAGATCCTGTTTTTTGCTAATAAAGAGTTAACTCCAACTTCCTCAGTGTGATTTATTGCTGGCTCGCTCCTGTCAGGTACATGGTTTCCCTGTCTCCATTTCATCTTCACAACAACCCTGGGAGGTAGGTTAGGCTGAAAGATTTTGACTGGTCCATGGTCACCCAGTGAGCTTCATAGCTGAGCAAGGATTTGAGCCCTGGTCTCTTGGTCCTTGCCCAATTCTCTAACAGCTATACCACATTACTTGCAGTGCAAAGGAGCTGAATAATACCATATTAACTCTGGGCAGACCAGCACCATAGATCTAAAGCACAACATTTAAAGCTGGTGACCAAAGAATCTCAAGAGCTGTAATTGGCTAAAGTATACTGGGAATTGTAGCTTTGTCAGGGGAAAACTACAGCGTGCAGACTAGGTAAAGGGACCCCTGACCGTTAAGTCCAGTCACGGACGACTCTGGGGTTGTGGCGCTCATCTTGCTTTATTGGCCGGGTACAGCTTCTGGGTCATGTGGCCAGCATGACTAAGCCACTTCTGGCGAACCAGAGCAGCGCACGGAAACGCCATTTACCTTCCCGCCGGAGCGGTACCTACTTATCTACTTGCACTTTGACGTGCTTTGAAACTGCTAGGTTGGCAGGAGCAGGGACCGAGCAACGGGAGCTCACCCCGTCATTGCGGGGATTCGAACCACCGACCTTCTGATCAGCAAGTCCTAGGCTCTGGGGTTTAACCCACAGCGCCAACCATGTGCAGACTACTTCAATCTAATTTGAATGGGAGAAATACTGATAACAGCTAAAAAAGCCAGTGTGGTGTAGGGGACTAGGAGGACATGGGAGTGACCAGGGTTCAAATCTCCCCGCTTGGCCTTGAGGCTCACTGGGTCACCTGGAGTGGCCAGTTGCTGCCTCTCAGCCTGGCCTACCTCACAGGGTGGTTGTGAGGATGAATGCAGAGGAGAACCATGGGTAGGCCCCACCCACAACTGGCCTGCCTAGGACGATAACTCAATCAGCAGAGCGTGAGACTTTTCAGTTTCAGAATCGCGGGGAACGCTGGGCAAAATATTCCTGCGCTGCAGGGGGTTGGACTAGATGACCCTCGGGGTCCCTTCTAACTCTGCAGTTCTGTGATTCTATTATTGTACTTGTACCTGATGGGCCGGCTGGTGAAGGATAGGGAGAGTCTCTTCCAGCTGGTCCAGCCCTTTGCAAGCATATTGGTTCACAGCAGCAACTGGCAGAAGGAAAGAAGGCAGATCACACAAATTCAGTGTGTTATAAAACACACACACACACACACACACACACACACACACACACACAGTTATTATCGTTTAAAAGCAAACATTTCCAAGGCAGGAAAATAACAAAACCAAGATCAAAACCCCACGGAAAACAATAATCTATATCCGCTGAGGGATATAGTTCAGCTGGTAGACTGTGAGACTCTTAATCTCAGGGCTGTGGGTTTGAGACCCATATGGGTGAAAGATTCCTGAATTGCAGGGGGTTGGATTAGAATTCAGTGTTTCTCAACCTGTGGGTCCCCAGATGTTGTTGGACTACAACTCCCATCATCCCTGAGCTCTGGCCTTGCTATCTAGGGGTGAGGGGAGTTGTAGTCCAACAACATCTGGGGACCCAAAGTTGAGAAAGGCTGGACAAGATGATTCTTGTGGTCTCGTCCTACTCAAGGGCTTTTTTTCCCAACTGGAACTCGCCGGAACTTGGTTCCAGCATCTCTCGGGTGGGTACCATTGTCCCCCCCCCAGCTACACCCATGAGCTCAGGTTTAGCAAAGTCGGTCTCAATTTGTTTGTGAGGGAGTTGAGGCTGTGCAAAGAGCTCTCCTTTAACGCAAGTGCTCAGGTTTTGCAAAGTGTGTTTTAAGCACAGCTGGGCTGCCTTTTAAAGGAAGACTTTTGCTTTTCGATTCAGGAAGCGTGGGCTGTGCAGCTCTCTTGTCTGCTTCTCAGGGAGGGAGCACGGGAAACATCAGCGAGCGACAAACTGACAGGGACAAAAGCACAGCGCTGCAAAGACAGAAGCTGTAAAATGGGGTCTGAGGCAGGTCTGAATCTGGAGCAGCCTTCTGGATGAAATTCTGCTTGCCCCCAATGCAGGCAGAACCACAGGGGGAAAAGTGTCCTTCAGCACTAGTGTCCTCTAGTTATCTCCCGCTTGGACTCCTGCAATGCGCTCTACGTGGGGCTACCTTTGTAAGTGACCCGGAAACTACAACTAATCCAGAATGCGGCAGCTAGACTGGTGACTGGGAGTGGCCACCGAGACCACATAACACCAGTCTTGAAAGACCTACATTGGCTCCCAGTACGTTTCCGAGCACAATTCAAAGTGTTGGTGTTGACCTTTAAAGCCCTAAACGGCCTCGGTTCAGTATACCTGAAGGAGCGTCTCCACCCCTATCGTTCTACCCGGACGCTGAGGTCCAGCGCCGAGGGGCTTCTGGCGGTTCCCTCATTGCGAGAAGCAAAGCTACAGGGAACCAGGCAGAGGGCCTTCTCGGTGGTGGCACCCGCCCTGTGGAACGCCCTCCCATCAGATGTCAAAGAGATAAACAACTACCTGAAATTCAGAAGACATCTTAAGGCAGCCCTGTTCAGGGAAGTTTTTAATGTGTGACATTTTAGTGTATTTTTGGTCTCTGTGGAAGCCGCCCAGAGTGGCTGGGGAAACCCAGCCAGATGGGCGGGGTACAAATAATAAATTATTATTATTATAGCACTCCACAAAGAGTTCTCCTACATACACACCACAACTTCCCCCCATTCTGTGGCATTCAAGGACTCACTTTGGGGCTCGAGGTGGCCGAGAAGCGGTTGGGCGCCCCCAACGGCACTCCCAACGGCCATCGCTGCCACTGTCTCCGCCACGCTGCAGGCAGAATTGATGAACGGGTAATTCTCCTTGGCGTAGTTATACAGAGAGTGGCAAATGTCGTAGGTGGAGCTGACTAGGGGAAGGCTGGTCACTCTGGTCACGACATTCTGGAAGAGGGTGGAGAACAATGAGAGTTTTATAGCACAGTCGTAAGTCAAGAAGGGTCCATTTATTTATTCAATTTATTCAATTTCATCTGAAAATCACAGGGTGGTTTGTTGCACTTACAGATCAGCAGGGAGGGTAGCTGGTCAAAGCAGGAGGGGGAGAAACCACCTGGTTTCTTCAGCAGCCTGACTCAAACACACCTCATCTCAGCCTCCTGGAATCCCACCTCTTCTGCCTCTAATTCTGGACTGCTCTCTGTCACAGCCTCTTCCTGCTCACTAAACCCTGTTACCTCTTCTGCTTCTGACGGATCTTCCTCCCAGTCTGCTCCCTCTTCTCCTTCTGACCATTCATCATTGTTCTACCACCATTCCCTGGGCTCTGAGCCTGCTTCCTTGGGGGGTTCCCCAGCTGATTCCTCCCACCGCTCTTCTGCATCCAGCCAGAGGCCAAGAGGCTGGTGAAGAGTCTCGGGTGTCTCCCTGTCCCGCTGTGACAAGCTCCCTTCCCCGCCCCGGTCTCTTAGAACCAGTAGAGGCATGAAGAGTGCGGAGAAGTTAGCTTCTTGCAGGGGCAGTCTCAGATCACTTGGGGGAAATCCTGGCTTTGGGGAGGTGCGGACCTTCAGTCTCAGCAACTGCTTCATGGGGGCAAGACCCGCTGGAGATGGGCTTGCTGTGATCATTGGCCTTGACACTCCTGCACAGATCCTAATAAAGAGTTAACTCCAAATTGCTTGGTGTGATCTGCTGGCTTGCTCCTGTCAACAGACCGGCATTCGTTGCAAGGGTATTTTAACAAGGCACTTCTAGAGGGACTATACATGCCCTCACAGGTCAGATCTGCCTTTCTCGCTGATCTTTAAGAGATCCCCAAACCCTCTCCTTTGCCTTCCTCCTGCTAGGACTACCTCTGTTTCAGGGCCATGTTTGCAGCACATGTTTCACGGCCGTTGGTGGATATTCACTTACCGTTGTGTGTGGAGCCTCTTGGCCATCTCCTTTGACATCAGTAGCCATGGCAAAAGTCAAACACACCTGCAAGGCAGAGACAAAGAATGGAAAGGTGATCAGGAACGGTGGTGGGTTTTGCTTTTTGTTATTAACGCGGGCTGTATTTCGACTTGAGTGAGCGCTTAAGGAATGCTAGCTCTGACCTCTCTGCCTGACGCCCACCAACAAAGGCCTCTTACCAAGTGACAGTGTGACGCAGTGGTTAGAGCATTTGACGAGGCCCAGGGAGGCCCAGGGTTCAAACTCCCAACCTACTATCCTGAGATTTCTGGAGGGGGGAAGCGTAAAAGGTAAATTCCTGAATGGAGATAGCAAGAGACGCCTAGGTCTCTTGTTACAGATCTCTCCTCATACCCATTGTTAGTTTCCCTTTTTTATTTACTCATTTTAATAAAATGTATATACTGCTTGGTGGTAGTATGACCTCTAAGAGGTTTCCAAGAAATATTAACATTATCAATAAGGTAAAGGGTAAAGGGACCCCTGACCATTAGGTCCAGTCGTGGCCGACTCTGGGGTTGCAGCGTTCATCTCGCTTTATTGGCCGAGGGAGCCGGCGTACAGCTTCCAGGTCATGTGGCCAGCAGGACTAAGCCGCTTCTGGCGAACCAGAGCAGCGCACTGAAATGTTGTTTACCTTCCCGCCGGAGTGGTACCTATTTATCTACTTGCACTTTGATGTGCTTTCGAACTGCTAGGTTGGCAGGAGCAGGGACAGAGCAACAGGAGCTCACCCCGTCACAGGGATTCGAACCGCCGACCTTCTGACCGGCAAGTCCTAGGCTCTGTGGTTTAACCCACAGCGCCACCCGTGTCCCTAAGGTTTAGTAGTGTTTTGCATTTACCTGTAGTCTCCTGGCATAACCACGTGGTAGGAGTGATGATGAGGATGATGAAACCTGCGCTGCACATCGAAGGGATGTATTCTGGCTCCAATCACCCACACACCCACACCCACGTGTGCCAGTAAATGCAACGTGGTTTGCAAAACATTTGTGTCCCGCATAAGTCACGAGGTCACACCATGTGCCTGCTCATTTCTACAGTGTCTAATCGCCTAGATTAAAGATGGAGTGGAGGAGAAAAGCCACTGGAGAAAGCACTAGGCTTCAGTCCCTGTTTAAAAAGGGATTTTTAAGAGTCGGAAAAGACCTTCGGGAGCCAGTTTAGGAAGATTCCTGTCCCACCCTGTCATGCTATGGACTCTGTGCAGCCATCAGAGCATCTTACAACAACATTGTCTGTCCAAAACTTGACCAGACCACTGAAACGTAGTAACAGCTTGCTGGGTCAGGCTAATGGCCCACCTAGTCCGGCATCCTGTTCTCACAGCGGCCAACCAGATAAATGCCCCAGAAGCAGGGCCTGAGCACATGAGCAACTCTCCCTTCCTGCAGTTCCCAACAACGGCCATTCAAATGCATTCTGCCTCTGGCACTGGCGGGAGAACACAGACATCGCGGCTGCTAAAAGGTAAAGGGACCCCTGACCATTAGGTCCAGTCGTGGCCGACTCTGGTGTTGCGACGCTCATCTCGCTCTATGGTCCGAGGGAGCCGGCGTACAGCTTCCGGGTCATGTGCCCAGCATGACTAAGCCGCTTCTGGCAAACCAGAGCAGCGCACGGAAACGCTGTTTACCTTCCCGCCGGAGTGGTACCTATTTATCTACTTGCACTTTGACGTGCTTTCGAACTGCTAGGTGGGCAGGAGCAGAGACCAAGCAACGGGAGCTCACCCCGTCACGGGGATTCGAACCGCCGACCTTCTGATCGGCAAGTCCTAGGCTCTGTGGTTTAACCCACAGCGCCACCCGCGTCCATTATTAATTAATTAAAATTGTACGCAGCCCTTTGTCCGAAGATCACAGGGCAGCTCACAACATAAAAATACAAAATGAGAACACGCACTATATATAATAAAACAAAAACAAACCAATAACACCACACACACCCCATACAAACACATTTAAAAGACCATAGAATGTTAATCAGCCAAAGGCCTTGTTGTAGAGGAACATTTTTTGCCTGGCACCTAAAGATATGTAATGAAAGTACAAGGCAAGGGCCTCCTTTGGGGGAGTATTATGCAAACAGGGAGCCACTGCAGAAAAGGCCCTGTTCTCGTGTTGCCACCTCTCGCAGAGGAGACACACAATGAAAGGCCTCAGAGGATGATTGCAGGGTGTGGATCAGTTCATAAGATAGCCTTGTCCTCCTTAAATATCTTTAATCCACTTTTACAGCTGTCCGAGTTGGTGGCCATCGTTGCATGTCCTTTTGACACTCCACCCCACATCTGGTGATCCTCCCAAACATGGATTAAAAAAATGCACCTCCCTTTCACCCCGTCCTAGAACAGGCTGCCTGTATAAAAGTCAACACATATCGTAAGAGCATAAAGGAGAGGCCTACTTAATCAGGGTGCACCTATCCTGTTGTCACATTGACCAACCAGGTTTCCCCAAGGGATGCGCCAAAGCAGGACATGAATGCAACAGTACTCTGCCTGTTCCTGGTTCCCTATCTGGCAGTTCCTTTAACGCCCTTTCAGTGCTTAGGCAAATATCTTTCTTTTCTGAACCCTGGCATTCCAGTCCTCGTCCAGCATTCTGACCATGACACCACACTGTTAGAATTCCTGCTCCGTGATTGCAGTCATGGGATTGTTGTCTTTCACATGACGGTATATGTTTTGACTCCACAGAGTGGGAAGTGACGAAAACAGGATGTTGTGTTACTGTGTTCCTTGAAGTGGGACTATTCTCCTTTGTTCTTTCTCTCTTTGCTTTCTGATGCTAGAGAGAGAGGAAGCCATGTTGCAGTGCTCCGTGTGTGTTTATATATAAATAAAGTAGATTAGCCAAAAGGCTGAGTTGCTGAGGTCCGTTACGCAACTGCACAAACTCTGCGGATCCCTAAGTGTGCCAGTGTTGGTTGGCATTGGTCGCTGTGATGTTTGGGAACAAGAAAGCTTTTGAAGCTCCCGAACGATCGACCAGAAGGGAGAGAACATGCCAGTCGGGCATGTGTCTCTGCCAGGGTCCTACTCAAGTGTAGGCCGAGCTCCTGACACACACACTGCCTTTCAAAACTTCTGCTCTTATACATCCTTTGCCTCTGGGTCCATGAGATGCAGCTAAGAGCATTCCTTTCTACTCTGATGGCAGCATCCCCTGTTCTACCTTGAAATGCTGGGGATCAAACCTTGGGCCTTCGACATGCAAGGCAGATGTTCTGCCACTGCCCTCCCTTACCAAGAAGTACAGTTATTTGCATGTGTCCAACAGAAGCAACAACTCAGTACGAGAGAAAACACCCAAACAAGGAAAATGACACAACAGCTGATGTAATATTATCTCTCATTAAGGGTCCAAAATAGAAGAAAACAAACACTACTATCCCATTCAAATCAAACAAAAGAAAACATCATCATGCTTTATTATGTTTTATATGTTGAAAGCTCCCCAGAGTGGCTGGGGCAGCCCAGATGGGCAGGGTACAAATCAATTATTATTATCATTACTATTATTATTATTAATCAGACAGGGACTCTCCCAGATGACTTGTTTATTGAATGCTTATCCCAAGTTGTTCTACAAAGTTTGCATGAAGGTTATATGACGTAACTGTTTAGTGAGTAAACGCTCTGAGATGTTTACACAGATGTTCCTATTAGTCCACACTCCCCTGTGCAATTTGCCATCGGTTTATGGGCTTGGGGTGGTAGAAATTAGCTTGTTCTGCAAGAATGCCACATCCACTTTCAATGATACAAACTAAATTTGCAGCTGTGTGAAGTTCAGACAAAGAGAAATTAAAATAATTGTTTCTCAGCACTGCCCTTGAGGTACTATAAGATTTTGTAATAGCACCCACAAATTTATTTCTCAGGTGAGGCAATTTCAGAAAATTTAGACGCAACAGCCACTCCAGCTGGTCAAATGCTTTATGCAAGTCCAGCATGATCAAAACCAACTGGTTACTATTCCTTTTGCTCTGCTATCCTACTATTCAGAAATCTGTGGGCTAGATCCAATGATATATGACACCCTGGTATCATCTGGGCTGATGATACTAGTGCTAATGTTATTCAGTCTAGAGGTGAGAATAGCAGTAATCTCCTTTTGATTCCGATTAAGTAAATATATGGGTCTATATTATTCTAGCATAGCTGTCAACTTTTCCCTTTTCTTGCAAGGAATCCTATTCGGAATTAGGGAATTTCCCTTAAAAAAAGGGAAACGTTGACAGCTATGTATTCTAGGTTTCTGCCAGATGTTAGCATTATTGTGATTCTAGGATTCTTCCGTTTGTGTAGAATAGGAGCCTCTTCCCCAAAGTCATAAAAAGAATCCATTCTAAATGTGGCGCAAGGATCTATCCAAACATAGCATGCACCCAAAAAAGCTGTTGGATTTGCCGTATTTCAGCTTTGAGATCCCCAGTGTCATGACCATGGGGGTCAGATTCCTCATCTTCAGCGGATGAGGATGAAGACTCTGAAGCAGAAAGGGAACCAGCCCCAGAAGAGCTCTCAGGTGAACCTGCAGGTAACTGCAGGTGGGCAGAGTGCTATGGTGGTTCTGCTTGTGGACTTCCCATCTGTTTGGCCACTGTGAGGACAGGATGCTGGGCTAAATGTCTCCAGCTTTTCTTACGCTCTTTTTAAATATTTCGATGTTTTAAAATCTTAGCCATTCCCACCTTGCATAGCTGCTTTCAGGGCATCCCATCATATATGTGGGGATGACTCTCCCCCTTGACTTGAACTTCAAAGTACACCTATCATCGTCTCCATCTATGGCATCAAGCAAATGTGAGCTTGTCTTATCTGACCTGGACATCTGTCCATCTTTTGTGCCTTGGAGCTTTTTTTTGCTCCATCACCTGATCCAACACGGGAGCAATTGGGCAATGCAGTTGTGTAACCTCATAATGATATTTTGTTTCCCTCAGGGACATAAGTGGCATGACCGAGATGGGTGGATGGTTGGTAGATGGCTGTGGGCAGGTGAACCTTGTCCTAACAAAATGTGGCCTGTTCAGCCCTGCTTCCTCCACCCGTGCTACACAAACACACAGGACAGTTTCTCTAATCCATGCTGGAATATTAGATGCCCCGTCATTGCTCTTGAAGACATACCTGTTTAGACAAGCGTTCCCCTGAACTGCACTTGTGATTTCATTGTTCCAACTGATTTTAAAGAAACCATTCTAACTGTTAGGCCTCTTGTTTGTTTATTTCACTGTATATTTTTATTAAGGATGTTTTAATGTTTGAATTTAATTTTAATTATACATATACAGTGGTGGTACCTCAGGTTAAGAACGTAATTCGTTCCAGAGGTCTGTTCTTAACCTGAAACTGTTCTTAACCTGAAGCACCACTTTAGCTAATGGGGCCTCCCGCTGCCGCCGTGCCGCTGGAGCATGATTTCTGTTCTCATCCTGAACCAAAGTTCTTAACCCGAGGTACTATTTCTGGGTTAGCGGAGTCTGTAACCTGAAGCGTCTATAACCCAAGGTACCACTGTAAAAGCAAAATCATATCCAATCAAACAAGGCTCAGTAACGCAATCATTAAAATTATTACAATACAGTGGTACCTCAGGTTAAGAACTTAATTCGTTCTGGAGGTCCGTTCTTAACCTGAAACTGTTCTTAACCTGAAGCATCACTTTAGCTAATGGGGCCTCCCGCTGCCGCTGTGCAATTTCTGTTCTCATCCTGAAGCAAAGTTCTTAACCCGAGGTACTATTTCTGGGTTAGCGGAGTCTGTAACCTGAAGCGTCTGTAACCCGAGGTACCGCTGTATGCATTTACTGAGAGCATTTGCACCCCACTGTTCAGCCAAAAAAAAAGTCCCCAGACCGACTCACATGCAATTAAATTATTAAAACAAGGCAGGCCCTGCCTGCAGAGTAACAATCTTAAAAAACAACAACACACAAGGGGAAGGGGACAGGAAGAGGGGGAAATCAAACACAATATATTGCATATTTTATCGCAAACTTACTCAGAAACCAGGGGAGGCGGGTGGCGCTGTGGGTTAAACCACAGAGCCTAAGACTTGCCGATCAGAAGGTCGGCTGTTTGAATCCCCACGACGGGGTGAGCTCCCGTTGCTCGGTCCCTGCTCCTGCCAACCTAGCAGTTCAAAAGCACGTCAAATTTGATTCCCTCCCTCTCTTTCTTTTTTCTTTTCCTTCTCCTCCCGCGATGAGACTACATTTTAATATTTTAATGTTTCAATATTTTAATGTTGTATTTTTAATTTTGTTTTTAAGTTGCAATCATTTAACTTGTTTTTATTATTGCTTGTAAGCCGCTCTGAGCCCGGCCTTGGCTGGGGAGGGCGGGGTATAAATAAAAATTATTATTATTACTATTAAAGTGCAAGTAGATAAATAGGTACTGCTCTGGCGGGAAGGTAAGCGGAGTTTCTGTGCGCTGCTCTGGTTCTCCAGAAGCGGCTTAGTCATGCTGGCCACATGACCCAGAAGCTGTACACCGGCTCCATCGGCCAATAAAGCGAGATGAGCGCCGCAACCCCAGAGTCGGTCACGACTGGACCTAATGGTCAGGGGTCCCGTTACCTTTACTACTCAGAAACCATTTTGGCATCGAAGGGATCTACAAATGAAACAACAAAAGAGCCCTGCTGGATTAGACTATCTAGTCCAGCATCCTGTTTCCCCCCAGGGGTCAACTGGATGTCTTTCTCAGAAGCCCACAAGCTGGTGATGAGGTCCCTAGCTTAAGGTTACCAGACGTCCCCGTTTCCCGGGGAACAGTCCCTGGATTTACAAATAAGTCCACATACAAAATCCATTGAAGTTGAAAAGTGTCCCCGGATTCATTGGAAAAAATCTGGTAACCTTACCCTAACTCTCTCCTGCTGTTATTTCTGAGCCACTGGTATCCAACTATGTTGTTTTCCTGTGCATATTTTACACCGTAAGCCACTTCGGAGCAGGGACCTATCTTGGTTTGTATGTTTTGTTTTTTATAAAAATAATCTTTTAATTAAATTTTCTGTTTTACAATTTAAAGTACTCGTTTTTACATCCTCAAGATACCAGCGACTTCCCTTCTTCTCTTTCCATGGTTCATTTTGCATATCGTAAATCCCTGCATATTTTACAAAAACGATACCATTCAGTATTCCATTATTGCATCCATCAAAACTTATTTACACTGTTGAATTTATCTTAATGCTGCCACTGTTTCCACCTGTACAGTTTCCCCCCATTTATTCAATAAACGTTTCTAGATGTGTATTCTTCTTGTTCTCTTATTCTATACGTTAAGTCTGCAAGTTGTGCACACTCTGTTGGCTTAAGTTGCCATTCTTCTTTGGTTGGGACCTCACTCATTTTCAATTTTTGGGCTAACGAAACACGGGCTGCAGTAGTGGCATACATAAATAACATTTTTTGACACCTGGGAACTTCAGTCTGACTTGTCCCCAACAGAAAGGACTCTGGGGTTTTTTTTGGGGGGGGGAGTACTTTTAAACATTTTTTTCAATTCATTATGGATCATTTCCCAATACTCTTTTACCCTTTTCCAATTCCACCACATATGAAAGAATGTTCCCTCTGCCTCTTTGCATCTCCAGCACTTATCTGATAAAGTCTTATACATCTTAGCATCAGGGACCTGTCAAACCAGTTCGGTACTTTTTTTGTAACACACCTTGCACATAATAAGTAAGTGCTGCAAGTGAGGACTGCAACCAAGTGTTGCAGCGTGGTGCTCTGTGCTTCAATATTCCAGACACTCCAATCCATTATCCCTCCTCTCCATTCTCCATTCCTTCTCCCCACCCCCCACCCCCACCAGTCAGCCACCATCCCATGGCAGCTGAGCATGCTCAGTCCTCACTGGTCTGTTTTGGGGGCTGCCCCACCAAGGCTTCGTGCCTCCCCTAAATATTATTTGCACTCCTTGGGGTTCCCCCAAGCCTGCCAAAATGTGTGTGTGCATCCTCATGCTCCTTGCTTGTCTAGATGCGAGGATAGGGAGCTGTGTGTGTGTGTGTGTGTGTGTGTGTGTGTAGAGAAACTAGACTCCTGAAACATTTACATTAATTGCTCTGTCTATTTTTGCATCTGGCCGTGCCCACCATTAGCAGGAGGCCCCCAGAATATTGACAAAGATTCCCTATGCCTACGTTTCAGCGAAGGGCAAGGTCTTGCATTCGGCGGAGGACCTGGAAAGGATTCAAGGATGGTCAACAGGCTTGTGGAATTAGTGGACACCCCTCCCTTCATTGGACCTCGAGCCCAAATCCACCTACCCACCCACTTACGAGTAAAGCAGCCTGTTCCTCATTACACAATTGGCTGCTAACAACCTGTGGCGCACCTTGCATCAGTCCCTTGCGGGATAGGAAGGTAATGATAGCTTCTGATGGAATGAGTCGGCTGCAAGGATCTGAAAGGCACCCACGCATCTTTGCGGCGGGGGAATAATTAGGTCCAGGGCGTCCTTCCAGAATGTGCCTTCCATACCCGCCATGTCCCCTTGCCTTGTCATTCTCCAGGACCCACAAGGCGGCTCAGCCACCAGAAATAAGACAAAACAAACAGGAATGCTTGAGATAGACCTTTGGACCTGCAGGTGTTGCTCAACCACAACTCCCATCCTCCTTGGCCATTGGTCATGCTTGCTGGGGCTGATGGGAGTTGGAGTCCAACAACAACAGGAGGGCCACTCTTTCCCCATCCCTGGTGCATACGAAAGCTTACAGGCATATTTCTATTCTGGCCAGCCCTACTATTAGGGAGAGCAGGGGTGGAGGACATTTGTCCCTCCATGTGTAGCTCTGCAGCAACAACTCATCATCATCCCTGGTCATTGTCCAATGCGTGCCAGGATGATGAAAGTTCAGCAGCTTCTGGAGGAGCAAAGGTTCGCCACATCTGTCCTCAGGTTAACTAGCAGCCCATTTCCCAAAAGAGCAAAGTCTAAACCATGCTGTGAAAACAATAGTCTTGTGGGCACCTTAAAAACAGGCAAATTTCTTATAGCACAAGCTTTTGCTCATGCTACCAAAGTCTTATACAGTGGTACCTCAGGTTAAGTACTTAATTCGTTCCGGAGGTCTGTTCTTAACCTGAAACTGTTCTTAACCTGAAGCACCACTTTAGCTAATGGGGCCTCCTGCTGCCGCCGCACTGCCAGAGCACAATTTCTGTTCTCATCCTGAAGCAAAGTTCTTAACCAGAAGCACTATTTCTGGGTTAGCGGAGTCTGTAACCTGAAGCGTATGTAACCTGAAGTGTATGTAACCCGAGGTACCACTGTACTAAACAGTGTTTCTCAAACTTAGGTCTCCAGCTGTTGCTGGACTGCAACTCCCATCATCCCTGACCACTGGTCTTGCTAGCTGGGCTGATGTAGTCCAACAAGAGCTGGAGACCCAAGCTTAAGAAACACTGTGCTAAGTTGTAGGGGAAACCTTTGTCCCTCCAGATGCTACAAATCCCATCATCCTTGATCATTGGCCATGCTTGCCAGGGCTGATGGGAATTGTAGTTCAACAACATCTGGAGGGACAAAGGCTTGCCACACCTGTATTCAAGTCCTGAGGTGTGGATCAGGGACAGAGAACCTGAACCTGTGGTCCTCCAGATGTTGTTAAGTCAACGGTTCCTATCAGCCCTGGTCACTGGCTATTCTGACTGGTTCTGATGGGAGTTGGAGTCCAGTAACATCTGGAGGGCTGCAGGTTCCCCATCCTGGCTGTAGCAAGAAAAGGGTGCAAGCCATTCAGAATGTTCTAAGCTGCTGTGCCAAAGTATGGATTTCACATAGGACTAATGAAACGTCTGAGCAGCAGTTCTGATCTTTAAGGTTCAAGGTTCGAAAGAGTGTAAAGAGCCAGAAATGTGAAAGAATGAATTTGAACTGGAAATCCTTCAAAGTTCTGCCCTAAAATGAATTTAATACGTGCTAAGTTCACCAGGCAATTATGGAAACCACTTTCGGGTGTAGTTCAGAGATTCCTGACCTAACTCTGTGAACTTCAATGAACTGATCTAGTAGTTCATCCCAAGGGTCCCATGCCACCACTTGAAAGACCCTCAACCCACATACGACACTCAGCAAACATCAGATAGTGGGAAGATGGGGAAGGGGATAGGAGATGATAATATATTCATAGAACCATAGAATTCTAGAGCTGGAAGGGACCCTCAGGGTCATCTAGTCCAACCCCCTGCAATGCAGGAATCACAGCTGAAGAATTCCTGACAGATGGCCATCCAATCTCTGCTTAAAAACCCGCAACCATCTTCTGAGGTTGTCAGTTCCACTCGTCAAACTGCTCTTACTGTCAGGAGGTTCATCCTAATGTTTACATGGATTCTCCTTTATGGTCATTTGAATCCATTAGTTTGAGTCCTGCCCAAACTTGATTTTATGACAGCCCTTCAGATATTTTATGGTGGCTAGCCTACCACTCCTCAAGTCTTCTCTTCTCCAGTTTAAACATCCCCAGCTCCCTCAAGTGTTCCTTATAAAGCTCGATTCAAGACCAGTTTGTCGATATCCTTCTCAAACTGAGCTGCCCAGAACGGGACACAGGACTCCAGGTAGGATCTGACCAAGGCAGAATACAGTGGTCCTATTATTTCCCCTGATCTAAGGAATTAGGCATAAGAGAGCGAGGATCTTCCCAATTTCTGCACTAATTTATGGTTTTAAAAGTTGAAAACCCAACCAACCCTTTGAATTGGGCTCAGCAACCGATGGTGGGAGCTGGTCACCTCAGTGGAAACCAGGATGATATTATATTCCAGTTACTTCAACCTAGCAGGGGAATCCTGCAACCGGCTTCCATTTTCTCCAAATGTGGTTCAAAGACATCACATCTCTAGGCTGAGTTGCAGTACTGTAGTCTTAAACTGGATGTTCCTGAGACATGAGTGATGATACAAAGATCGAAGGATGCTTGTGCAGTATCGGGGACTGCTCTAGTTTGCACCCCCCCGCACCCCCGCATGCCTGGTAAAACACAACCCCCATTAAGGGCGTTGCTAGACGTTTCAAAGATCTCAGGCACAGACCCACACCACCAATCTGCAAAGTGCCTCTTTGGGACAGATCTGGGGAAATCCTGTTTTTTTCCATTGTTAAATAGGCACAAAAAGTTCTTCCAAGCTTAGGCTAACCCTCCTGGTTCTCTCGGACGCCACTGAAATGTCGTCCCATTTCTATGTACCTATTTAGCACAATTACATCTCACCATATTATTTTCTGGGCTGCCATTACAGTTTCTATCCCAGATTCCCATGGAAGGAAGAGGTTCTCCCCCTCTCCATTTTCTCTTCCCAACAACCCTGAAAGGTAGGTTATGCTGAGAGACAGAGGCTGGTCCCCAAGGTCTCCCAGTGAGTTCCATTAAGCTGCCCCTGTCCCAGCACAATACCCCACCAGCCTTACCTGCTCTTTATGATTCTTCCTCTTGGCCCCGGAAGAGTCCTGTGCTCAGCTGACGCGCCTGAAATCTTCTAAAATAGCTAATTGCCAGAGGCATGTGATGGGTGGAAGGGGAGGCGCTCAGCCAGGGAGTTTCCCACAGCTTCCCAGGAGCAACAACTGGGGGTGGGACATTGCAACATCTGTACGAATCGCAGCACCGCCTTGCAAAACTTTCAGTGCGCTTTGCTCATTGCAGTGGTTGCCTGGACTTTGAAACTAGGTGAGAGGTGACAGCTCCCAGAACCGTCCAGTAGGAGGAGTCCCCGCTCCCCCAACAAGGGCGTATAAATGGGATAATCTGGGTCAATTACCTATGGAAGCCCTTTCGGTCAGGGCTAGGCAATCTCGGTTTTAGAGAGTAGACTTTACCTGTTGCAAACACAGGCAGACAGGAAGGCTTGCCGGTGAGGAAATCATAATGTTGTTTGTTGCAGGAAATAGCCAGCCTGAATAGAAAATGATTTATTTTCTTTTTTTATTAGTTTTCCAAATTTGTAACAAACATATCCACAAACAAAAAAAGAAAACATTGAAAAACAAGCAAACAACATATATCCAAACTGTAAAAAAAATCCACTTTTGTTATTGTTGGGTGACTTCCTCGAATCCCCCTGGCTGAGTTTCCATATAAATCATTGTGGCAGTTTTCCGCAACTAGTTTCACATAAATTTACTTGGTCCATTAACATCTTTCTTTCTTTTCATTTTGACTTTTATCCATAGTGTTCTACAGCATCACATATTTAAATCCTAGGCCAATCTGATACTCGCAAGTACCGGTAATTCTATTTAAGTTACAGTGGTACCTTGGGTTACATACGCTTCAGGTTACAGACTCCGCTAACACAGAAATATTACCTCGGGTTAAGAACTTTGCTTCAGGATGAGAACAGAAATCGTGCTCCGGTGGTGCGGCAGCAGCGGGAGGCCCCATTAGCTAAAGTGGTGCTTCAGGCTAAGAACAGTTTCAGGTTAAGAACGGACCTCCGGAACGAATTAAGTACTTAACCAGAGATACCACTGTATCTTAACATATTTGACTAAATAATCTTTGAATTTCTTCCATTCGTCTTGGTGCTCCTCCTCCTTCTGGCCGCGGACTCTTCCGGTCAGGTCAGCTAGCTCCGAAAAATCCATCATCTTCATTGAAAAGAAAATGATTTGTTAGCCGCCCTGAGCCCGGCTTCGGCTGGGGAGGGCGGGATATAAATAAAATTTATTATTATTATTATTTCTTGTTCTATTCAAACTAACAGGGCTAGAGAAAAAAGGAAGGCGGCTGTGCTTGCTCCTCTGTTCCCTCAGAAGATGAGACCTCTCATCTTCAGGTGTGTGTGTGTGAGAGAGAGAGAGAGACGGACAGACAGACAGAGACAGGTAGAGGCAGGGAATCGAGCAGTCCCTGATTGGTCAACTCATGCAAACCCCACTTCTGAAAGCTGAGATTCACCCAAAGCTCCAACATATATGGGCAGCTGCAGATGAAAGTGAAGGGAGAGTTGAAAGCACACAGCCCCCCTGATTCCGGTGTGTTAAAGGTGCTGGGAACCATAGTTCTCTGAGGGTCAAATAACAGCTTCCAGGGATCTGTTTATGTGTCAAAGGTATGCTTTACTGTAAAAAAAAAAAAAGGTAAAGGACCCCTGGACGGTTAAGTCCAGTCAAAGGCGACTATGGGGTTGCGGCGCTCATCTTGCTTTCAGGCCAAGGGAGCTGGCGTTTGTCCACAGACAGCTTTCCGGGTCATGTGGCCAGCAGGACTAAACCGCTTCTGGTGCAATGGGACCCCGTGACGGAAACCAGAGTGCACAGAAATACTGTTTACCTTCCTGCCACAGCGGTACCTGTTTATCTACTTGTGCTGGTGTGCTTTCAAACTGCTAGGTTGGGACAGAGCAACACGAGCTCACCCCGTTGCGGGGATTCGAACCGCTGACCTTCTGATCGGCAAGCCCAAGAGGCTCAGGGGTTTAGACCACAGCGCCACCCGCATCCCCTCTTTATGGTGTGTTTGCAGCCCTTGATTTGAGGCAGGGGGGGGGTCACCAACGATCAACCTCAGAACCCTGTTGTCAGTGGTGAGAAAATCTCCTCTGTTACAATGATCACCTTTTATTTAACAAAATGCTGCATGATTGTGAACAAACAAAACCTCTAAGCTGTTTAGAAAAATATAAAGCAAAATGTTAAAATCATTGATAAGATTCCAGCTGAAAAATAGGTACAGTGGTGCCTCGTAAGACGAAATTAATTCGTTCCGCGAGTTTTTTCGTCTAGCAAATTTTTCGTCTTGCGAAGCACGATGTCGGAAAAGTTTTGGAAAAGCTTCAAAAATCGCCAAAAACCTCAAAAAAGGCTACCACACCGTGTTCTATGAGTTGCTCCTCGAAGTCAAGTCGCAACTGTATTAACGGTGTTAAGAAAAAGGAAACAAACTTGCAAAAAATGCAAGACGTTTTCATCTTGCGAAGCAAGCCCATAGGGAAATTCGTCTTGCGAAGCAGCTCAAAAACCACAAAACCCTTTCGTCTAGCGAGTTTTTCGTCTTGCGAGGCATTCGTCTTGCGGGGCACCACTGTACTTAAAATCGTTTAAAAGATCATTTAACGTCAAAAGCAGCTAAAAAAGAGATAAAGCACATCTGGATAAGCTTGCCTAAACGAAACAAAAAAGGTTTTATGCAGGGTGCTGAAAAAGTAAACAACTGATTTCTTACGAGTGTGGGTGGAAGGGAGGTGCAGTTATAATTCGTGCTTCGAGGATGGCCAGATATGGGGTGGAGCATCAAAAGGATGGATAATGTTGGCCACCAACTTGGATGGCTTTAAAAAGGTTTGGACACATTCTTGGCAGATACGCCTGTCAATTGCTGCTGGCCACAATCACCACATTCTCTTTCCACCATCAGAGGAAGTAATGTCCTGAATTCCTGTTTCTGGGAATCACAAGTTTGGGTTCTGCTTGTGGGCTTCCAATTGGAACATCTGGTTGGCCACTGTGAGAACAGGATGCTGGACTAGGTGGGCCATTAATAATAATAATAATAATAATAATAATAATAATAATAATAATAAATTTATACCCTGCCCATCTGGCTGGGTTTCCCCAGCCACTCTTTGTGGCTCCCAATATTAAACACGATAAAACATCAAACATTAAAAACTTCCCTAAATGGGGCTACCTTCAGATGTCTTCTAAAAGTCAGACAGTTGTTTATTTCCTTGACATCTGGTAGGAAGGCGTTCCACAGGGTGGGTGCCACCACCGAGAAGGCCCTCTGCCTGGTTCCCTGTAACCTTGCAATGAGGGAACTGCCAGAAGGCCCTCAGTGCTGAACTTGTGTCCGGCTGAACGATGGGGGTGGAGACGCTCCTTCAGGTATACTGGGCCAAGGCCATTTAGGGCTTTAAAGGTCAGCATCAACACTTTGAATTGTGCTCAGAGACGTACTGGGAGCCAATGTAGGTCTTTCAGGACCGGTGTTATATGGTCTCGGCGGCCGCCCCCAGTCACCAGTCTAGCTGCCGCATTTTGGATTGGTTGTAGTTTCCGGGTCACCTTCAAAGGTAGCCCCACGTAGAGCGCATTGCAGGAGTCCAAGCGGGAGATAACTAGAGCATGCACCACTCTGGCAAGACAGTCTGATCATTAGCCTGAATCAGACGGCTCCTCTTATGTTCTTATGCTTGCAAAATGATTTCATTCTACCCTGACTTTTGGACCTCAAAGATGCTCCTGAGGCAGCTGATGCTCCCCCAAAATAAACAGACATAAATCTCACTATATACGTGTGTGTGTGTGTGTGTGTGTGTGTGTGTGTGTGTAAAAGGTAAAGGGACCCCTGACCATTAGGTCCAGTCGTGACCGACTCTGGGGTTGCGGCGCTCATCTCGCTTTATTGACTGAGGGAGCCGGCGTACAGCTTCCGGGTCATGTGGCCAGCATGACTAAGCCGCTTCTGGCGAACCAGAGCAGTGCACAGAAACGCCGTTTACCTTCCCGCCGGAGCGGTACCTATTTATCTACTTGCACTTTGACGTGCTTTCGAACTGCTAGGTGGGCAGGAGCTGGGACCGAGCAACGGGAGCTCACCCCGTCGCGGGGATTCGAACCGCCGACCTTCTGATCGGCAAGTCCTAGGCTCTGTGGTTTAACCCACAGCGCCACCCGCGTCCCTAATGTGTCATTTTCTTAGAAGCCAAGAACAGAACCAGAAAGGGTCATGAAAACGTAAACATAAACTTTAATTCACCTGGGTGGTTCCAAAAACTATGAACATCTCTTGGTAAAAGGAGTCTCTGGAGTGCTGGAGCCATGATCCTTCGCCCTAACACTCTTAGAATTATTCCTGAAGATCTGCGATTTCATTCCGGATAATGATGGGGATCTTTGCCACCAAGGTGCTCATGCACCAAGGGAAGTGGACGGTGGCCGTCAACTCGTACCCAACATCCATGATGTCGTCGGACTTCCATGAGCTGCTGACGGACATGACTTTGGGCAGGGAGAGGGTGCTGTTGATCTTGGTGGACTCGCAGGGGGACCCTTTCCCGATGTGAGACTCCAGCCGCATCATCTCCTCCCGCTGCTCCAAAGTGCGCTTCTCGGCCCGGAGGTTGAAGGCCTTGTAGAGGACCACGGTGTGCAGGGCGAAGACCACTTTCTTGATGGACTTCCCTGTCCGGTTGGTGATCTCCGTCGTGAAAGTGATGTCATCTCCTGGCCCGTAGATGTTTTTGCCAAGGGAGAGGCGCAGGGTGATGGGGGAGCTCTTGAAGCAGCAGTTGTACAGGAGGGCCTTCTCGACTTCCACCACCAAGGGGAACTTCAAAGCCATCGGGCAGCGGGAGAAAAGGGGATGCAAACACCGGGTGAATGTAAGAAACAGAAGAATTTCCTTGTCACTGAAGCAGGCCGCGGCCAAATCACCCATCATCCATCTAACCCTGGCTTCCTCAACCCCGGCCCTCCAGATGTTTTTGGCCTACAATTCCCATGATCCCTAGCTAGCAGGACCAGCGGTCAGGGATGATGGGAATTGTAGTCTCAAAACATCTGGAGGGCCGAGGTTAAGGAAGCGTGATCTGATCTATCTCATGTTTGTTACGCATTTTGAGCACCTCCTGAGATACCGTAACCACATTCTGCATGATGGTTCCTGAGATCAATGAGATTTTAGCTCATGTTGGGATATCCCTGGGCACCCTTTTGAATCAAATGGCAGGCTGAACCTTTCAAAACTGTGCTGGTTTTAACCAAACCTTGCACGATGGTTCTTTGAGATTGTTGAAATATATACCAAAAATCCATTTGAGTCGTGTGACTCAAATTGGGTCTACTAGACCCATTTTTTCTAAAGCGAGGTGGACAAAAGTCGCTTCTGGAGCTATCCCCCCAAAATGTAGGTCCACTACAGAGCATAAATGAAACTTATTCATATCAAATACAACATTAAAACTTCAGCAGTGTTCTGCAGTGGTTAGTGTGTCACACTAGGACCTGGGAAAGACCAGGGTTGAGTCTTCACTCATAGGGTGACTTTGGCCTGGTCACTGGTCACTTTCAGTATAACCTACTATACAAGGTTGCTGTGAAGATAAAATGATGGGGATCTGGAGAACTGTGCATGCCACCTTAAATTCTGTGGAGAAAAGGTAGGATATGAAACAATAATACAGTGGCACCTTGGTTTAAGAACAGCTTAGTTTATGAACAACTTGGATTAAGAACGCTACAAACCTGGAAGTAGGTGTTTTGGTTTGTGAACCTTGCCTTGGAAGCAGAACATGTTCTGCTTCCTGTTGAGTGTGTTCCATTGGTAAACTGAGTCCCCTGCTGCTATGTGGAAGCACACCTTGGTTTAAGAACGCTTTGGTTTAAGAACGGACTTCCAGAACGGATTACCGGTAAGTTCATAAACCAAGGTGCCACTGTAGTAGTAGTAGTAGTAGTAGTAGTAGTAGTAATAATAATAATACAGTCATACCTTGGAAGTCGAACAGAATCAGTTCCGGAAGTCCATTTGACTTCCAAAATGTTCGTAAACCAAAGCGTGGCTTCTGATTGGCTGCAGGAAGCTCCTGCACTCAATCAGAAGCTGAGGAAGCCCCTTCGGATGTTCAGCTTCCAAAAAAAATACCGTATTTCTCCGTCTATAGGACACCCCCATGTATAAGACGCCCCCTATTTTGGGGGACTCATATTTAAGAAAATGGGGGGAGATGGCGCCCCATGTATAAGACGCCCCCTAATTTTTTTACTATTTTTTGGGGGGGGGGACCTAGTCTTACACATGGAAAAATACGGTAGTTTGCAAACAGGAACACTCACTTCCGGGTTTGCGGCATTCGGGAGCCGAAACGTTTGAGAAGCAAGCTGTTCGAAAACCAAGGTACGACTATAATAATAATAATAATGGACTTCGAAATTTTAGAAGATTTGTGGTGTCCGTGGATAGCGGAAAAACGGAAATTGGCCAAGCTGAAGAAGGGAAGGGAGGATTCAGTCGTAGACCCATAGAACTGTTGCGTTGGAAGGAATCCCCATGGGCTCATGTAGTCCAGCTCTCCTGCAATGCAACTCGCTTTGAACCCGCAGCTCTGAGAGACTGACCTCTGATATGACAACGTCCTGCCTGAAGACGGAGATCCCTTGAACCAGCAGGTACTTCTTCTGCTTCCGGAGAATAAGCTCCCTCGTTGCGCAGACGCCTTGGAGGAAGTAGCTGATTCGTCCGACCCGGCTAGTGAAGGTGGAAGGGATCCTGGGAGGCAAGACGAAGTGGAAATCAAAAGGGTGGACACCCGGACCCAGCCAGTTCCCTGCAGGCCAAAAAGAAATTCTTCTCACTTTCTCTTCGTTTTCTGCGGTTGGAGCTCTTTGTGACGTGTGAGCCCTGGGAAGTCACTGGCTTGAAATTGTCCCTGTGAGGACTAGGCTAGAGCAATATTCGGGTCCTTCTGCGCTCTATCACTGAGCTACAGCCCCTCCCCTAAAATTAAAGTAAGGTTCCAGTCCTCATTGTTCTGAATAGAAGCCTGGTTCAAATACAAATAGACAGAGCCAGGCCCCTGGTCCAGCTAGCTCAGTATTGTCTAGCCCATGGGAGACTGTAGCCCATTAACTTGCAATCAAGTTAATTCTTAACTTGCAATCAAGCTAACTTGCAATCAAGTTAATTCGACACACCTTCTTTTACACACTTATTTTGGTTCTGCCTGGAGGCCAAGGTGCTCATTTTGTGAAAGATACTAGGGAACTTGTTATGATGACTCCTCAGCTATAATGGCTCTCTTCCTGTGCTCAGAGGCCCTCTTGCGTTCATTATCAGGTCCTGCAATCCACATCTGGGGAGGGAAGTCTCATTTTCAAACCTGGGCCTTGTTTATTTATTGCAATTTAAAAAAAATAAATTGCTGGCATCTGTCTTGAGATAACAGCAGAGTGCACCTCTGGGGCTGGAGAATCACAGCGCCTGCTGTGGCTGCAGAGACAGGCAACTTGTAACTGCAGCTTCCTGAGTTGCTTTTGCAGGGAGTTGGGCTAGATTAAAGGTAAAGGTAAATGACACCTGGACGGTTAGGTCCAGTCTCAAATGATTCTGGAGTTGTAGTGTTCATCTCGCTTTACAGGCCGAGGGAGCTGGCGTTTGTCCACAGACAGCTTCTGGGTCATGTGGCCAGCATGACTAAGCCACTTCTGGTGAACCAGAGCAGCGCACGGAAATGCCGTTTACCTTCCCGCCGGAGCGGTACCTATTTATCTACTTGCACTTTGACGTGCTTTCGAACTGCCAAGTTGGCAGGAGCAGGGACCGGGCAACGGGAGCTCACCCTGTCGCGGGGATTCGAACCACCGACCTTCTGATCGGTAAGCTCTAGGCTCTGTGGTTTAGACCACAGCGACACCCACGTGATTAGAGGCTAGTTTAGAGGTTCCCAAAATGATTTGGCCTACCGCCCCCTTTTCAGTAAAAATAATAATTGTTCAGCACCCCCCCCCCCGGAAATCTACTGCGACTGAACAGACAACTTTGTTCTCTTTTATGTATTTATATCTCTACCTGTGTCCTACAACATAGTAAAGAAAGGTGGTGTTGTACAATTATAAAATTATTAAATAACATTAAAAATAATCCTGAAGAGTAGGGTGAACATTTATTAATGTTTGGCTCTATGTTACATCAGTAAGCGTCATTATACAACAGATGGAACATGTACAAACATTTTTTTAAAATTTTCTTCTTTCTTTATGCTTCCACTGCCCCCTTATTTTATTCAACGTCCCCCAATTTCACCTGAGTTGACTAACACCGCCCCCCCCCGGATAATGCCAGCCCACCCAAGGGGGGGTAACACCCAGTTTGGGACTAGATGACTCTTAGAGCCCCTTCCACTTCTACAATTCTATTATCCTTTCTTTTTCTTTTTTCAAATAAAAAAATAATTACAAACATCAAATTCAAAATCCATGTTCATTTTCTAACATAAGCCTTTTACATAGATTACCTAAATTAAAATATATCTAATTGCTCTAGGCTTCCCTTTATATTATAAATGATATTACAGTGGTGCCTCGCAAGACGAAAAGAATCCGTTCCGCGAGTCTCTTCGTCTTGCGGGTTTTTTCGTCTTGCGAAGCAAGCCCATTAGCGGTTTAGTGGATTAGCGCTACAGTATTAGCGGCTTAGCGGGCTTAGCGAATCAACTGATAAGCGGTTTAGCGATCAGCTGTTAAGCGGCTGAAAGATCAGCTGATAAGCGGCTTAGCGATCAGCTGTTAAGCGGCTTAGCTGATCAGCTGATAAGCGGTTTAGCGGCTTGGGAAAAAGGGGGGGGGAAAGGAAAAAAACCCCGCAGGAACTCGCAAGACATTTTCATCTTGCGAAGCAAGCACATAGGAAATTCGTTTTGCGAAGCACCTCCAAAACGGAAAACCCTTTCGTCTAGCGGGTTTTCCGTCTTGCGAGGCATTCGTCTTGCGGGGCACCACTGTATAGGTTCCCATATACCCCCCCACTCCCCTTCACCCATGTGTGATCTCAATATTTTACTTCTTCCATCTTGTTGTTTTGTTATAATTTAAGAATTATTCAGTTGATTCTATTATTATTTCACAGTTCTATGATGCTATGGGATCCAAAGGAAAGCGGAGCAATACGTTTGGCATCTTGCTTGGCTGCAAGGAGGTATATGTTTATATCCCTCCCTTCCCTCCAAGGAGCTCATGGGGGCATGTGTGGCTGTCCCCCTCCTCATTTAACCCCCCACAACAACCCTGTGAGGTAGGTCAGGCTGAGAGGCAGCGGCTGGCCCAGGGCGTTGTGGCTGATTTGAACACAGGTCTCCTAAGTGCAACCAATACACCATCACTGGCTCTCTTTTCACACCCCTTGCCCCCCCATCCCTTAACTGCTCCTGTTAAATAAAAATGTTTTTTTAAAGTTGAGACCATACTGTTTACAATTAAAATTTTATTTGTCTGATGGACACTGTCAATTATGGGTCAGATCTACTATATAATATTCTAGGCAGGGCACCAAACTGTAAGGGTTATATTCATAGAGAATCATATTCTTTTCACAGGAATGCAAGAGGATGTCATGCACATTTTTCAATTACATGTTAAAAGAATATGATTCTCTATGAATATAACCCTTACAGTTTGGTGCCCTGCCTAGAATATTATATAGTAGATCTGACCCATAATTGACAGTGTCCATCAGACAAATAAAACATTGTAGAACCCTTTAAACCTGTAACTGAGGTAAGAATAGCCAGCATTTTAATTGTAAACAGTACGGTCCCAACTTTTTTTTTACTATTAAGATCTGTCTCCCCATTTTTTGTGCACAAATAAAAGGTTTAAGCAGCAACAGACAACCCTCTTTCCTCACGCTCTATCTTGAAAGTTTTTGTCTTGTGGACGTAATCTGCCTTGTTGACGCAGGTCCCGGGCTGGCTGTAGTCCTTCTCGACGTCGGTCTCTTCGATCCACTCAAGGTAGCCCCTTCCGATCAGCTCGACTTTCACCAGGGGGTCCACCAGGGTGCTGTGGAGGCTGAGAACCAGCTGCCCTTCCACCACTGAGCCGGCTACGTACACATCCTTCGGAATCACCAGCTCGATAGACTTCACCACCGACATGGGTGGCCCGGAAGGAGCTCCGGAGACTGTTCCCTCCGATGTCTAGAATCCCTGCAAGGGCTGCGTTGGATGATGTCAAAGGGGCTTGTGACGTCACAACAGTGTGTTTCAAGAAAGAACAGCTGCTTGCAGAGGGAATGTTAGAATTCCTGCTCCATGACTGCAGTTATGGGATTGTTGTCTTTCACATGACGGTGTATGTTTTGACTCCACAGAGTGGGAAGTGACGGAGACAGGATGTATGTGTTACTGTGTTCCATGAAGTGGGACTATTGTCCTTTGTTCTTTTTCTCTTTGCTGTTTGATGCTAGAGAGAGAGGGAGCCATGTTGCAGTGCTCCGTGTGTGTTTATATGTAAATAAAGTAGATTAGCCAAAATGCTGACTTGCTGAGGTCTGCGGATCCCTAAGTGTGTCTGTTGGCATCGGTCACTGTGATGTTCAGGAAGAAGAAAGCTTTTGAAGCTCCCAAATGATCAACCAGGAGGGAGAGAACATGCCAGTCAGGCATGTGTCTCTGCCAGGGTCCTACTCGAGTGTAGGCTGAACTCCTGACAGGGAACCCAATAGTGACACCATTTAAAGCCCTTGAATAGTCAAGTTACTTGGTATGGGGAGTTATGGGATGTTAGGGGCGGGGCAGTACCTCTGGCTACTACAAGAGACACCACCTTGCCGACAAAGATACATATAGTTAAAACTGTGGTTTTCCCAGTAGTGATATATGGAAGTGAGAGCTGGACCATAAAGAAGGCTGATGGCAGAAGAATGGATGCTTTTGAATTCTGGTGCTGGAGAAGACTCTTGAGAGTCCCATAGACTGCAAGAAGATCCAACCTATCCATTCTGAAGGAACAGGTAGGTAGCCATGTTGGTCTTCCCTAGTCGAAACAAAATTTAAAAACCCCTTACAGTAGCACCTTAGAGACCAACTAAATTTGTTATTGGTATGAGCTTTTGTGTGTATGTACACTTCTTCAGATACTGATTTCCTTCATTCTGAAGGAAATCAGCCCTGATTGCTCACTGGAAGGACAGATCCTGAAGCTGAGGCTCCAATACTTTGGCCACCTCATGAGAAGAGAAGACTCCCTGGAAAAGACCCTGATGCTGGGAAAGATGGAGGGCACAAGGAGAAGGGGACGACAGAGGATGAGATGGTGGGACAGTGTTCTCGAAGCTACCAACATGAGTTTGACCAAACTGCGGGAGGCAGTGGAAGACAGGAGTGCCTGGCGTGCTCTGGTCCAGGGGGTCACGAAGAGTCGGAAACGACTAAACAACTAAAGAATAACGACACGTACCTCTGGCGAGGGACAGGGTTTTAAGGCCCTATTAGATTCAGCAGGGCTTACTCTCAGGTAAGTGCAGTTAGGCCTGCAGCCTTTGTGACCCAAGTTTTGGGTCCTTTTTAGGTTCAGGATGTCACTGCTTTCCACACCCCCCCCCAACAATATTTGAAAAGGTCAGCTTTGTACGTAAACACAAATTGGCCAGGAACTTCATTGTCTGTGTCTTTATTAATTTATTTAAAGAACAAGAAACTGGTGGTTGCTTTAACTTTTTGATATGTGATTTGAATCATGAGGATGAAATTGAAGAACTGCTGAGTTTTGGATGAATTGCTTTGGAATCGAGGACTTCATTAGACTTTCTTCTGCCTTTTCATTTTAGTTTGTTCTAAGGGCTTGTTAGAGATATTGTGTAAGCGTGGTGTCAGCTCCCTAAAAACAGGTCAACAACTTTGGGGCTCCCCCCCTTAAAAAAGGTCGACAACTTGGGGGGGCATCAGAGGGATCTTTGCACCACGGCGCCGGATAAGCTTATGACGGCCCTGGCTAACACAGTGGTTTGACTTAGCCCCCGGAGGCGGACTCCATTGTCTCTTGCCAACAATGGGTTACCTTTCTGACCAGCCAAATCCTTCCACCCCATGAATCCAAAGCACACCTGAAGTGCATAGCTCCCCCGCAAAGAACCTTGGGAAGTCTGTTAAAGGTGCTTGGGATTGTAGCATTGCTGGGGGTAAACTACAATTTCCAGGATTCTTAACACAGTAGAAATGTGTTTTAAATATATAGCGCGGGTGTGACATTTCTGGGATTTTAAGTTCAGCCTCACAGGTTTTGTTCTCTGTGGGAGACATGAGACAGGAACCTCATACTCAGGACACCGCAGTTCTATATAATAAATCCCCAGTAGACCACGCGGGTGGCACCGTGGTCTAAACCACTGTGCCTCTTGGGCTTGCTGATCAGAAGGTCGGCGGTTCGAATCCCCGCGACGGGGTGAGCTCCCGTTGCTTGGTCCCTGCTCCTGCCAACCTAGCAGTTCGAAAGCACGTCAAAGTGCAAGTAGATAAGTAGGTACCTCTGCTGCGGGAAGGTAAACGGCGTTTCCGTGCGCTGCTCTGGTTCGCCAGAAGCGGCTTAGTCATGCTGGCCACATGACCTGGAAGTTGTACGCCGGCTCCCTTACCCAATAAAGCGAGATGAAAGCTGCAACCGCAGTCATCTGCGACTGGACCTAATGGTCAGGGGTCCCTTTACCTTTAGAGATCCATCATCTTTTTCTCTTTTTTGCTCAACAAATTGTTCCAGTATTTCCAGTGTGGCAACAAAGAAAATCAAAGAGCCTCACAGTGCCTTTTAAGAGACTTGTTATTTATCAGTGATAATTAAATATTTGACAAATGGTGGTTATTGCTGAGATGATTATATTAACCCCTGTAGTGATGTGTGCAGGCTTTTAACACTTAATTTTACACTGGCCTTTGTTATAAGAAGTAAATGTGTTCTGATGCAAGCTTTTGCAGGCTAGAGGACCCAAGATGCATGGAAAGTTTCACCAGATGCATGAAAAGTTAACAAACTGCCAGGAATGAAGGGGGAGATAAGAATGCTAATTGGCAATGAATGCAAAAAGCACAGTCCACGACAATTAAATTAGGGCTTAAACTTTTACAAAATTAGCACAGTGACTCCTCATATCAGCAATTGTGCTGATAACAACAATCAGCATTGCTGAGTAAATTTAATAATAATAATAATAATAATAATAATAATAATAATAATAATAGATTTAAGACTTTCAGTAATGCCTTTGCCTCTCTTCAAGATCCTGAATGAATACAATTGGGATATGTTTGACTCTTTCAGCAGTTTCACTCTTTGATATGATTATGGTAGTCAAGATAACATTGGAAGGATAATACTGGAAGACCAAAAGGCCTCTATGCAAATTAAATGATGGGATTTAGCCATTTTGAGCAAGTCAGCATGCTTAATTAGGGTGTAGCAAGGCACTCTGAAGTCTATAGGTTTGACATAAAGCAGAACATTTTAAAACTTTGCTGGCATGCTAGACAAAACAAGATATTTAGAAATATTTCCCCATTGTGGTTGTATTGAATTTTTCAGCTTTCAAATTCCAAAAAATGAGGGGTGCCAAAAAGTTGTAACATGACTTGGGAACTTTGGTTAAATTAATATACAGTAATTTAGTTTTGCCTGGTAAGTAAAATGTGGGTAAAATTGCACAGAAATAATTAAAAATGATTGCCAAGTAACTGCAGTTACATATTATTATTTAGCATTGCCTGACATTTTCACAGGGTAAAATTAAAATTCTTTGGTTTCCCGGAAACAGTTTATGTGCTTCTTCATCAAATGTAGACTTACTAAGCTAAACATTGTTCAGTCACAAAAACAGCAGCAGATTTGAATTCTTCACTCCCAAAATCATATTTTTTAAGACCCCTCATTGAAGAAATTTGAAGAAATTCACCTGTTAAAATGACACACACTATTTTGTATTTTTTTATGGTTTCCCCACCAGTTCATCTCTGTTAGGGCTCTCTGTGTGTGTGTTTCAGCTTTTAATGAAAAAAGAAAAGTGAGGAAACTTGACCTAAAGGACTGATCAAAAGCAACCAGGTAAGATGTGGGTGGCGCTGTGGGTTAAACCACAGAGCCTAGGACTTGCCGATCAGAAGGTTGGCGGTTTGAATCCCCGCGACGGGGTGAGCTCCCGTTGCTTGGTCCCAGCTCCTGCCAACCTAGCAGTTCGAAAGCACGTCAAAGTGCAAGTAGATAAATAGGTACCGCTCCGGCGGGAAGGTAAACGGCGTTTCCGTGCGCTGCTCTGGTTCTCCAGAAGCAGCTTAGTCATGCTGGCCACATGACCCGGAAGGTGTACGCCGGCTCCCTCGGCCAGTAAAGCGAGATGAGCGCCGCAACCCCAGAGTCGGTCACGACTGGACCTAATGGTCAGGGGTCCAATTCCCAGCACACTTAATAATACAATTCCAAATATTATTTGGGAGAAGACTTCTGCTTTAAATGGGTGGTGTTTTCACAGTTCCAGAAAACGCAAATTTGATAAATTCATTGTTAAATGCAAACTAAATTAACTTTTGCACATCCCTACTCAAAAGTAACTGCCATTGAACTGAACACTGCTTACACCCAGGTAAGTGAGTAGAGGGTTTGCAACCTCATGAGACGAAAGCAAAACGGTTTCCAGAGCTGGGATGATCGAATCAAGCTGAGCGTTTTAAGTAATCTCTCGATCAGTCGATGCCTGAGCTATTATTCGTCGCGCATGCGCACTCAACCCTTCGGGCGGCAGGCCGGAATGGCAAGTGAGCCGGGATGAAGCCACGCCCACTTCCTCCCAGTTCCCGCCACCGCCGACCAATCAGGAGGCTCCGAACGGCCCACCGCAACTTTCCCCGCCAAACTCTAAAGACTGGAGGCGTAAAAAAGGAGCATTTTGCGCGGGCTGCTCCAGTTGCGGGTGACCTTTCGCTTCCAGCTTTTTTTTATAGACACTCACATATATATATATATACACACATATAAAATATATATAATATAATATGTATAATATTGCCACGTGAGATCTATACCTGGATCAAACGGAAGCATTTGGGATTGAGTAATAGTTTTATTTTTTTTTTAATTAATTTTTCCATCGGAGGAAGGAAAAAAGGCGCGCTTTCCCCGTCTTCGGATTTGCAAAGAAGCAGAGCCGAGAGAAAGAGAGAGAAGTTTTATTTTTTTAAA